TTTATGTTTTGAATTTGTGTTTTGGCCTGTTGCGCCACCCACCGCCGTCTACCAGTCACACAGTCAGTAGAGTCTCAGCATCAGTTACAGTTACGACTGAACTACAGCAGCATGGCAAGCAGCATTAGCAGTGTCCTAGTACATAGCATTAGCGGTCTCCTCAGCTGTATCCCGGCAGCAGTGTTAGCAGCAGAGAAACCAGACTTGCTCGAACGGTCCGTTGGAAAACCAAAGATCAAGGACGCGGCGACGCGGCCCTGCCACAGCAGCCGCCCATGGGCAAACAAATCAGTCTCCAGCGTGCCGCTGTCCAGCAACCTCGAATCTGTAGGGGAGTGGTGGCGGACACGCCTCGCAGCAGTATTTTGAATTTGAGTGCAGTAACTGTTTTGGCCACATTCTTACATACAGCGCCTTTAATTACCAGAAACTGATATATAACCATATAGTTATATATTCTGTTTAACTTTTATGATACTGATAATAATAATAATAATAATAATAATAATGATAACATTGAATGGATTGATAATTTTTAAAGTTAGAAGCAAAACAATTGAATTAAATTCTGATATATAACCAACTTTCTTTAGCAGAGAAAAGGTCAAAGAATAATCTTTTTGGGGAAAATCTTGCATCAAGTGTTTATATTGCTAAAGCATTTCATCTAGCTTTCTTACATATTTTAAGTCATATACATAGTGCTGTCCTCTCTTGATCACCTGGTCAACTAATAGGTAATTAGGGTCTTTTTAAACAGATTTTATACTAGTCTTTTTTTTTTTTTTTTCGTAATATCCTCCTGAGACCCAAACTTTTGTTTGGTATGCATTTTTGAAGTCTCCAAGCTATGTGGGATCAATAGGACCCCAGAAGTATAAAAAATAGACATTGTCAATGATAATTAAGTCCCAATGTCCTTAAACGAGACGACCAGAAAGTTAGTACTCAAATGTGTACTTTTAATTAACAGTGTCTTAATTTGTTGCTGTTGCTAAAATTGGTCAATTTTGTTGCCATATCAAACTACAAATGTTGTTAATCATAACTAAATAAGTTTAATCCATAAAATGTGATCAGGTTTTAAACCCTTTCCATTTTTGTTTTGGTATCAGCCGTAGACTGTCTTGGCAAAGATTGCTGCCATCTTGTTTTTACATGGAATAGTATATGGTGCTCTCACTACCACTAGATGGCACAAAAAAGTGTCCACAAATGAGAGCAAGGTCTAAGTTAAGTAGAATGAAGTATAAGGTCCAGTAAACCAAAAATGTCATGTCCTCATGTGAGGACACAGGGTCGCAGGAGGATATAGTTTAGGAATTGGCTGGTTGTCAATTGTAAAGCCTGCAAAATGAAACCTCTGAATCAATATTCACAAATATATATTGATTTTCTTTTAAATAAACACCAGATTTCAAGAGGTTTTTCAACTCCATAGGGAGAATACTGCTCTAAGTCAATTTATTGATTGGAAATAAATCATATGACTATTAGTTGACTAAGAATTTCGAGTCAAGGACAGTCTTAATATTTGCCTTTGTCAGTTGACTGTTAATCTGATAACTTTTGTGTTGTGGATATTGTTATCAGTCTTGCTCAATATTTCCTGACAGAACGTTCTAGCACCACCATCACCACTGTGGAGGAACAAGAGGAAACCTACTACACTGGTGTCCAGTTACCACAGAAAACAAAAACACTTGAACTCAAGCCAGAGTCCAAACGCTACTCTTCCACTTTAGAGAAGAAAAAAGAAAAGCCAGTTTTCCTCAGCCAGCTCGCCCCAGCAGCTGTAACCACTGGGGAGACAGCCAGGTTTACCGTCAGGGTGTCCGGCCTTCCAAAGCCAACTGTTCAATGGTCTCACAACGGAAGAGTGATTAAGAGCTCCTCTGTATACAAACTGATAGAGGAGAAGGAGGAGTACACGTTAGTGATCACCCGGGTCACCTCTGAGTATGAGGGAGAGTACTCTTGCACTGCCTCCAACAGATTTGGCCAGACAACATGCACCACATATCTCGAAGTGAAAAAGCCTGATGTTAGCCAGGCAGAGAAATGGGTTGAGAAGATGTTTAAGATCACAGGTCAACCTCCTACATTCACAGTTCAGATCCAACCTGCGAGGTGCTCAGAGGGAGGAGAGGTTTCTTTTAATTACAAAGCCAGTGGTGATCCATTCCCTGATGTGAAGTGGTTCAAAGGGGCTTTCCAGATCCAGCCCAGTAGAAACTGTATCATTATAGCCAACAGAGATGGATCTGGTGTCATCAATATTAAGAATGTCAAACAGGAAGACAGTGGCCTGTACACATGTAAGGCCTCCAACCAGTTTGGGGAGGCGTCTTGTAGCGCTGAGCTTGTTGTGTTCAAGGAATCAGTCTCTGTTTCTCAAAAACAGGAGCAGGTGACAATGGTTCAGAAGAAAGGCTATAAGGTTTCAGTGACTGAACAGGCAACTGAGTCTCGGTTGTACCAGGTCAGCCTTCCAGGACAGGACAGATCGAGGTCAGATCAGATGGTTTACACCATCGGAACTGAAGACAGGCAGATTATTCCAAGTGAGCAAGTGGGCTCCATTAGAGAACTAGATATCTCTGCTGCAACGATTCACCGTGAGCAGGTGACCCACCAGGCAGCAGTGCTTCAGTCTCATGAGATAGAGGAGAGGGTGTCTGTGGTTCCTACCCACCCGCCTCGGGTTTCGGCTGTTCCTGGGAAACAGCTTCACATGGCAGCTTTTACATCATCTGTCGAAGAGAGTCAGGACTTTACAGAGCAGCACTGTGATCGCATTCAAAGCCCTGAGGTCATTGAACTTCAGGCAGCTAAAGAAAAGAGATCAATGACAATGTCAGCTGTTGCTGAGGAGCTCACCCCAATTTCTACTGTTAGCACAGAGCCTCTGGCTGACAGGAAATCTGCTAAAATCAAGCCCAAGTCAGAACCTAAACATCTAGTCAGTGGGCATCAGGTCGAGTCACAATATCCCATCCTAAAAGAGCAGTCTCAGGATATCCCCAAAGCAGAGGAGGAGAAGGGTTATAAGGTCAAGGAGGGGGTTAAGATTTTATACTCAGCCCAGTCTACAGAGAAGCGGGTGCTTGCAGAGGGCCACACAACTGAACTGGCAACCGCAGATTCAGCTTTGAAATCTTCTGTTGGAAAAGAGCAGCACCGACCTGTCCTGGCATCGGTCAGTGAGACTAAACACACTCTTTCCAAGGAGACCAAGTTCTCCATGCACAGGCCCTCTGAGGAGACGGCCCATCTCTGTAAGGATAAAGTAATGAAGGCAGCTCTAACTGCTGAGGAGAAGCGAATGCTGCAGGCTGAGCCCACTGAGCAGCTGCCAAGTCTGGACAGCGCCATGTCCATTCAGTCACAAGTAGAAGGAGAGCAGCTGTTGCACCTGCAGGTTATCACAGACCAGGACCTCCTTCCATCTGAGAAGAGCTTCAGCTGTGAGAAACCAGCACCAGAGCAGGCAGGATCCAGGAAGAGTCCCACTCTACTGCACTCTGTCAGCCAGGACGAGCAGAGGACAGTCGTTTGTGAGGACACATCAGAGTTTGAGGCCAAGGCTAGCACCATGACCATCCAGCCCCAGAAAGTGTCCCCTAATCTGCTGCATCTCCAGTCAACCCAACCTGTGGAGGCACTGCTCAAAGAGGATATCCTCATAATTGAGAAGCCTGACCAGCAGGTGGCGGCACAGAAACAAGAAAAGACGAGGAGTCATGCAGCCACCTCAGAGGAGAGAAGGGAGCTCACAGCAGATTATCACACAGAACTGGATTTGTCCGTGACTGGCGTTCAGTCTCAGCTTCGAACTGAGCCCAGGCCTCAGAACATCCTCCAGCTCTCCTTCCAGCCCATGCAGCTGCCAAAGGAGACGCCGGTTACCACTGACGTCAAGCAGCAGCGAGCTTTGGTGCAGAAGGAGGATCGCTTGAACGTGATGCATGTCACTAGTGTGACAGACAGTCGGGCCTTAGAAGAGGGTCACACTGAGAGTCTGACAGCCGTGGACAAATTCACCTGCCAGATGGCTGTGGAGCCAAAACTTCCCACCGAGCCAATCCAGGTTGAGGAGAAGGAAATCTCCACTGAGAGTAGTGTCCTTCTAGAGGCAGCAGAGCAGGACTTTGCTGTCCAGATCCAGGAAGGCCAGTCAGTCAGGCAGTCCATAGTGATGGACGAGAAGCGAGTGATGATGGGTGAATTCTCTCAGGAGATCACCAAATCTGAGTCCACTAAAGTTGTTGCCACCACACAGCCGAAACTGGCTCTTATGGCATCAGAATCCAAAGAGAGTACGACTCTACCCAAAGAGATGACTTTTGTGATTCAGATCCCGAAACCATTCAGTCTGAATATACGGCGTCAGCTCAGGGACGCTCTTCAGTCTGCTGTGGCCAGTGACCAGCCAGTGTTACTGGCTGATGTTGTTGGAAAGTTACATGCTGTAGATGTACAGGAAGTCAAGGTTCAAAGAGAGCCCAAGCGGTCCATGTTTACATACCTGGTCACGACGACAGGTGCCCCCATGGAGATCACTCTGGCTTTTGAGGGTAAATACCCTCAGACAGCTGACCTCAGGACTGAACTCCGGTCAGCTTTCCACTCCATAGTGTACCAAGAGGCTCATGTTCTTACTTCAGAACAGCCAGGCACTATGCAGCTCGACAAACCTCAGAGGGCGCAGGTCACCTCGGCCCGCTCTAAGCAAATGCTGTCGTCCATGGTAGAGACTGTGAATGTGGCAGAGAGTGCAGTGGATTTCACTGCCGCTAAATCTCAGGCTGCTAAGCTCAAAACTGAGTCTAGAATGGCTGTTGAATGTGCTGGAGCAGAGCAAAAGATTGTGGTGCAGGAGACCAAGGAAGCAAAGATGGAACAGTCCATCTCATCCCAGATCAAAATGTCCACAGAGTCTCACATGGCTTTTGAGCAGTCGGTGCAGGTGTCCAGGCAGGAGGTGAAGTCAGTAACACTGAAAAGCAGAGAGAGAGATGTAGGGGCGGCTATTGTTACCGCTGCACTGCCTCCAACCACCGTCCCCACTGAACAGGTGGTAGACGTCAGCATCCAGAGGGAACACAGGGAGGAGATCTTTAAAGAGGAGATCACAGTATCCAGGCCAGAGCAAAGAGAATACCCAGTAATAGTCACCTCCCTCGAAGACTTATCCATTGATGAAGATAGTAAAGTAACCTTTAGCACCACCATTAAGTACGTCACAAAGGTAAACTGGTTTTTCAATGGGCAATTGGTGAAATCTGGCAAAGAGTTCAAGTGTTGCAAAGACCAGGACACATACACATTGGTTATCAACAAAGTTGTCAAGGAGAGGCACCAAGGAGAATATGTTTGTGAGGCTGAGAATGAAGCCGGCAGGACTACAACATCTTCAAGACTTACTGTGGTCTCAAGAGGTTTGATAATAGGAAAAATAAATGTATCATTCATTCATTCATTCATCCACTTCCTCTGAGAACGACTAATCATTCACATAAACTGGTTCATTCAAGACTTTTGTCTTCATAAAATGATGCATTTTTCATTTTGGTCTCTATATTCATTCCATAGCTCGGCATGAGCACCCTTAGTAGGGCACTGGATGGTACTAACTCATCATGTCTTGTTTGTTCCACGTCATTGTATGGTCAGTAAGTGCCTGAAGACCAGAACTGTCACAGCCATGCAAGTTCAGCTTAAGGCAATAAGCATCTTGTTAAAGTGGTTGTCATGATGCTGGTTTTCAGGCAACTTTCATGGTCTTCCCATGGTCACTTTGGCATGTCAGCAGCGTCCTTTGTTTTCAATCCATGGTCTGTCACATTCCTTCAGGTCCATTCTCCACATCTTCAGTGTCTGCATGCTGTCAGGGCTTCAACTTGACCCTGCTTCATCTTTCACAAACTTTGTTTCTCTTCCATTCAGCCTGAACACTAGCCCCATCAAAAAACAATGAAAGCAGCTTTTTGTGAAACCATGGGGCTAATGTTCTTGCTATTTTTCTCCTCCACAGTCACTCCCGAATTCACCATTCTTGTACATTCCACCATTCCTGTTCCTGTCAGTTTATTTTTACAAGGGTTTAGTAGATTCCATGACTAACATTTATCTTTTCAATTTGTCTGCGTGTGCCTCAGTGCCACCTGTCTTCAGGCAAAGAATCACACCTTTGGAGATCAATGTCGGCGGCCATGCCAAGTTCGAGTGTGAAATCGAAGATGCTCCGAGTGTGACCTTCAAATGGTACAAGTCTGGCATTGAGATCAAGCAGAGTGAGAAGTACAGGATCCTCAGTCGCCACACCAGCTCCTCCCTGGAGCTCCTGAACCCGGTCAAAGCCGACAGCAGTGAATACACCTGCAAGGCTTCAAACCAGCATGGCACTGACAGCTGCACCGCCTCACTCGTCGTCACCGGTAAGACCCCAGAGGGACCTTTTTCTAAATGAATGCTTTACATCTGTGTTTGTTTGAGAGAGAGAGAATTATATATTTGCAATGTATTTTTCACTGAATCATTACGTTGCAATGTGGAACTGTTTAAATGTTTTTAAGTTGGATCTGGTGTCATGTTTGGGAAGATGTAATTATGTCGAGGACCACATGTTTTCTGATGTTTAAACCTACATGGATCACCAAGTTGAGATTGCACAGGTTGTTTTTAATGTTGGTGTATTTTTCCAGCTTTTGAAATTTGTTTTACATTTTTGTATGTTCTACCTGCTCTCCATAGAAATGTACCCGCCGGTATTTGTATCAAAACCAGACCCAATGACTTTATATGTGGGAAAACAAGCTGTGTTCCAGTGCTCACTCACTGGATCCTCGCCCATGGAAGTTGTCTGGCACAAGGACAACATAGCCATCTCCTCCGAAGGAAACTATGTCATGAAATGTGAAAAGAACAAGTATTCGCTTTACATTAAAAGTCTTGATGTGACTGACCATGGAGTTTACCTGTGCAAGGCCTCCAACAGTGTTGGCACTGCTACATTTACTACAGAGCTCAAGGTTATCAACAAGCCCAGCTTTGTTAAGACCATTGAGCCAGCGTCAGTTGCTGTCAATGACCCTCTGAGGCTGGAGTGCCAGGTGGACGAGGACACTGGTGTGACCGTCACCTGGACCAGAGATGGCAAAAAAGTCCACCAGAGCATGGATTGTAAAGTGTCCTTTGAGGACAAGGTGGCTGTTGTTGAGGTTCCCAAGTCCAAACTGAAGGACTCTGGGAATTATGTGTGCACAGCCACGAATGAGGCTGGGAGCTCATCCTGTGAGGCTGTGGTAACAGTTCAAGGTAAGATCTTAGAGACGATCTTTCCGTTAGCTCTGATGAAAACGTAAATCTCTGACATAAGCTATTGGATTATTGCTGACAACCGTTTTCAGCCAAATGCAAGCTGACGCTAACACTATGCACTGCTATCTTCTTGTCTTTTCTTTCGCATTTCTTTTTCGCACTTTTCTGTCTTGGTTAATTTGTATATTGTCTGTTTCTCTCTTTGACAATGATCTTGGTGTTTTTGAACTAAACACTCCTTTCAGAGCCCCCTACCTTTGTTAAGAAAATGGAGCCTAAGATTACATGGAAACAAGGCATAGCTGCACGCTTACAGTGTTCGGTTAAAGGATCGCCTGAACTTCATATCCACTGGTTCTGGAATGAGAGAGAGCTTAGTGATGGAGAGAAATATAAAATCTCTTTCAAGAGTGGAGTTGCTTCTTTGGAGATAATGAACCTCGTGGTCACAGACAGTGGCAGTTACACCTGTGAGGTGTCAAATAACGCTGGCAGCGAGAGCTGCAACACCCTTATCGCTGTTAAAGGTTTGTCAAATCTTGCATTTACTTAACACTTAGTGCTCAGTTCAGAGATCCTTTGGTATTAACTCAACTCTTTACCTACCCTTTGACTCCCAGAGCCACCATCCATTAGAAAAGAGCTGCAGACAATAGAGGCGGTAAAGGGAACAGCAACTCAGCTGGAGTGTGAGATCATGGGAACAGCTCCTTTTGAAATTAGCTGGTTAAAGAATAAGAAAGCCATCTCCAGTGATCAGAAATATAAAATAATCTCTGAAGATTCCTTGTCAAGGCTGGAGATCAAGACGTTTGACAGTACAGATGTTGGAGATTATCAGTGCGTCATATCCAATGATGTGGGGAAAGTCACCACTAAGGCCTTGGCTAAACTTAAAGGTTCGTAAACCTGAGTTTAACAAAACTGTTATTGACTGAGGCTTAATCTCATTCTTCAAACTCAATATTTAACTCTTAAACTGTCTTTGTAGAGCCACCAACTTTCACAAAGAGGGTTGAGAGTGCGACAGCAGTGCTGGGAAATACGGTAAAACTGCAGGGGACCATTAAGGGCTCAGCTCCCATCACTGTTAAATGGATGAAAGACTCTGAAATAATGAGAGATGACGATTCAAATATCAAGATGGTGTTTGAGAACAATGTTGCTAGCTTGACGATATCAACAGTGGCCATCAGCCACGGTGGCAAGTATTCGTGCCAAGCTGAGAACGAGGCTGGCCAACAAAAATGTGAAGCTACCTTGACTGTGCAAGGTCAGTTGACACCTTTGATGCAGAGATGCTTGTATTTTAGTTCTAGGTTGTTGTGCCTAAACCCTTATATCTTAATGACTAATGGGTCTGTCTTATCTCAGAACCTGCCAGAATCGTAGAACCTGCAGAGTCCATTAGTGTGACTGCAGGTGATTCAGCCACTTTGGAGTGCACAATTTCGGGAAGCCCAGAGCTTAAAGTGAAGTGGTTTAAAGACGGGAAGGAGATGATCAGTGGCCGGAAATATAAGATGACTCTGAAGGACAATGTTGCCACCATGAAGATTCTTACAGCAGAGAGAGGAGACACTTCAGAGTACAAGATGGAGGTGTCGAATAAAGTTGGGAAAGCCGAGTGCACGTGCTCAGTCACGGTCTTAGGTTAGCTCCTGGTTTCTGCTTCTTTAACATTTGATAACCCTTATGCTGTTTTACAATTTATAAACGTATGACAATCTAATCCATAGTTGTTAATCTTGTTTCTAACTAAAAGGTTACGCAGTTTGACACGGCTCTTTTTACATGTTTTGGGATGTACAGTTAGCTAAAGTCTTATAATTGAAACGTTGCAATGGACTTTATTATAAGTAAAGACAGTGTGCGGAGTGTCTGTTGTTTTTAGGTAAACTGTTTTAATGCATGAGATGTTTTTTCTTCAACAACCAGATCGGATAATGCCCCCAACTTTCACCAAGTCCCTGAAAAGAGTTGATGGTAACATTGGTAATGACATCTCCATGGAGTGTAAACTGTCTGGGTCCCAACCCATGACCATAGCTTGGTTCAAAGACGACCAGGAGGTCACGCCTGGATCCAAATTCCAGCCTGAATTCAAAGATAACTCTGCTACAATGAGAATTGTTCGGCTGGAGAAGGCTGACTCTGGAGTTTACAAATGCAGAGCCACCAATTCAGCCGGCTTTAAGGAAACCAGCGGCACACTCTATGTCAAAGGTTAAGAACGCCTGGCTTATGTTGTGCCTCTTTTTGTTGTGTGCGATCCTTGAATGATTTCATGCTAACATGAAATGCAATCTTTGTTTTGTTTATGGCCTCCAGAGCCCCCAGCATTCACAGTTAAACCAGACAACCAGGATGTTATACCAGGAACCACAGTTTCCTTCAGAACCGCCTTCACTGGAACAGCTCCTTTAGCTGTAAAGTGGTTCAGAGAGGAAAAAGAGATTGTAACTGGAGACTCATATTTCATAAAGAAAGATGCCTCTTCCAGCTCTTTGGAGCTTCACTCAGTAAAACCCAGTGACTCCTCAAAATACACATGCCAAGTATCCAATGATGCTGGGAAGGTGGACTGCACTGCAGTCCTCTTTGTGAAAGGTGCTCATCTTCAGTATTTTGTGCAGCTGCATGAAAATGTCTTGATATCAATATCTTTTGATACTAACGTGATGCCTTCTGTCTGGTAATAAATGTTAACCTCTTCTCTTAGAACCTCCTGTGTTTGTGAGGAAGCTTGAGGCGACCAAGCTCATCACCAGCGGCGACTCTGCCAAGCTGGAGTGCAAAGTGACGGGCAGCCCCGTCATCAGTTTTACTTGGTTCAAGGATGCGATGGAGATCAGCTCCAGTCCTAAATATAAAATGACCGCAATTGACTTAGTGGCATCTCTGGAAATAGTCAACTGTACGGTAGAGGATAGTGGAGATTATGTCTGTGTGGCGTCCAGCGAGGCTGGTAGTGACCGCTGCAGCAGCACAGTTACAGTCAAAGGTTGGTTTCAGGGATTTATTTTCACTCTCAATAAAGTAAATGAAGACTTTTATTGTGACGTTGAAGACAGTTTGCTTTTCCTCTGTTCAAATGTGAGATCATTTATCCTGTTGAGATGCCATGCCCTCTGGTGGACAAGGACATAACTGAGAACCACTGGTGAGACTGTGGCTAAAATAGGTTGTGGCTTCTTCATAGGGTAAACACTGAGGATGTCTCACCCATCATTAGAGTTGAAGAAGTCATTCAGAAAAAGCATCTTCAACTTCACAACAAAATTCTTTTCATTTGGACTTTTTATAGTTGTGTAATTGAGTGTGATGTGCTGACAAGACCGCTGTTTTCTTCTAGAGCCACCATTGTTTGTGCGTAGTTTGGAGCCCAAAGATGTGGTGAAAGGTTCTGAGATGATGCTGGAGGGCCAAGTCTCTGGCTCCGCCCCTTTCACTGTGTCATTTTATAAAAACACAAAGCCGATTAGGAATGACAAGAGACACAGGATCACGGTTAAAGATGACCTGATAGCCCTGCAGGTGCTGGCGGTAGAGGCAGCAGACGTTGGTTTGTACCAATGTACTGTTGAGAATGAAGTTGGTGGGGCTTCCTGTGATTGTCAAGTAACACTCAAAGGTTGGTTTAGATTCTGTGGACTTATTTTTAAATTAACTTTTCTGCTACCATTTTAAAAAACCTACATTATACATCTGCTTCATATCTGTATTTGGACAGCCTCGCAAAGCTTCAGTCTGACCTGGCAACACTCAGTGCGCATTTACTTAAGCCAGTAAAAACACAGAGCACCATCCATAGACTCTTGATTCAGATCAAAACAAATCTTTAATAAAAAAAAAAAGGCTTTAGGAAAAGGAACAAAGTCGAGGGATCCCTCTTTTGGGAAGCACAGACTTGAAGTAAATGTCGGTATAAATACAGGGTAGACAGCAGACACCTGATTGAACGAATATGCTTAATCTCTGGGTGGTCATTAGTCAAAGGTTAGTAGATTTCTCCAAAACTTGAACAAGATCATTTTTCCTTGATAATCTTGGCAGAAATACATCCGCTCAGTCGGATTTCTTTTCACAAACAGTATACTGTGCATTATTTAAAATGATCCCTTGGGTCAGGAGTTCGGAGATGCGGCCATCGACCACTCACAAAAGCTCAAAATGTGTCGGGCTCAGCTGATGCTCAGGTGTTTTTTTTGTTTTTTTTGAAGACTGAGCTTGCGGGTTTACGTCTGACTTTGCGAGGCTAATATACAGTAGAGAAGACAATAATATTCATATAAATTTTTCCCTTGTAGAACCACCATCATTTGTGAGAAAGTTGGAGAACCTCAGTTCCTTGGTTGGCAGCGAAGTTACTCTGCAGTGCGTTGTGAAGGGCTCAGAGCCCATGACTGTGTCCTGGATGAAAGACAACCATGAGCTTAAAGAGGCTGAAAACATTCAGATTACATATGAGAACAACAAGGCTGTGGTGCACTTTACCAACTTACATAGCAAACATGGCGGCAAATACTCTTGCCAGGCGCACAATCAGGCCGGGAGCCAGACGTGCTCTGCTGTGTTGACAGTCAAAGGTTGGTTAAGATTCCTGAGAATTCTAATTTGAAACAGAATTCTTTCCGATGGTGCGTTTAGGCAATCCTTATCAACTTGGAAGGTCGGACATTTATCTAAGTTTACTCGCAGGAAGTTACCATCCAGTGGCAAATTACCAAAGCAATGGCAAGACTTTCCAAGTCCTGCCCCTTTTCACTCATTGCTCCAATAACAGTTGAACAAGCTTGGACTTGGCAGAATCATGGCTTACACTTTCTTGTTCTATTCGGGCCCCCAGGAGGTGCAATTTTTGTAGTGGCCAAACCGTGGAATTACATTGGTCAGGTGATGCCATGTGGCCCAAAAGCACTTCTCCCACATATTTACATAGCAAAAGAGACATCTGTAAAGCAGAGGACATGTTTTTTTTTAGCGTCACAACCCCCTCAAAATGACTCGTTTCACCATCAGAATTTGATCCGATAACATTTTACAACATTTAGAAAGTCCGACTGAATCATTTTCTCCCCATTCAAGCTGACAGAGCGCTAAACCAGAGGTAGCTTGCTCAACAGGTCCAAGTCTGTTGTGTGCCTGCTTTATTGCCCGCACCACATGGAAGCAGTGTTGATCATCAGGGTAATTTTATACGTTGCAGTTGAACTGTTTTGGCTTCATGCACCATTGATCAGCTTTTATAGGAATGAATTGGGCCCTGCTTCCAATGCTGTATCCAGGTCTCTCTATACACCCATGGTTATACTTTGATACACTATGTGCGCAACTCATCTATGTTGAAAAGAAAACCAAATTTTTAAGATGGTTAAAAGATGTGGCTGAGGGACTGTCAGTCTTCATGGACACATTACATTGTATAAAGTCTCATCTTCAGTTAGCTCATGTTAGCAAATGCCAGCTAACTAGCTAGCTAATGTATAGCTACACTAAGAGGAGTTAGCCTAATGTCAGATCAACATCAGCCAGGTTTGCTTTCTCCTTATTTCTGTGATAATGTTAGAGAGACTTGGAAAAGGACAGATAGTTTGGTTGCTAACGTGTTTTTTGTTGTTTTTTTTTTTTTTTTAAATTATTGACAGCCAGAGAAGATCAAGACCAGCGTCCCTTTGTTTAGATTATCTCTGTTAGGCAGAGGTGGGACAAAGTCATTGTTTTACAAATTACAAGTATGTCTCAAGTCTAACACCTACTGAGCAAAATCGGCATCGCCATGTTTTGTTGTGTCAAGCTTGTCCAACTTAGAAACAGTAATGAAGGGGACGTGACTTTTGAATCGGCCAATTGCGCCATTGAACAGAAAAAAACCCTCCATCTGACTTAATTTAATAAAGGCTACATGTATAGATTTGTCCAGACTGCTAACAAGAGCAAATGATGGACTTTATGTTCAGCCTTCATTGTTTACTTAACCAAATTTTCCATTGGTGATGGATTCACCATCGACCCGAAACCTTAGGAGTTGATAAGGACTAAATGCATCTCTAGTATCTTAAGTCTGTTATTGGCTTCAGTTCTTGGTCTGTCACTTTGTTGTGGTAAATCAGATTTGAGATTGTTTGCTGACATTTTTGTTTGACGTCTCAGAACCAGCGAAGGTCACGGAGGAGACAAAGTCTATCAGTGTGACTCAGGGTGATCCAGCTACACTAGAGGCCAGGTTCTCAGGCACAAAACCACTGAAGGCCAGATGGCTGAAGGCTGGCAAGGAGCTGACCTCAGGCCTGAGGCACAAAATACAGAACACAGACACCAGCTCTGTGCTGAAGATTAATAAAACTGAGAAAAGTGACAGTGGTGACTACACCTTTGAGGTTTCAAATGATGTCGGACAGAGTTCTTGCGATGCCACGCTCACCATTCTCGGTCAGTGCCTAACGCTAGAACTTAACGTGAGTTGTGTTTAATAACAACTTACTTTGAACTTTGCTGCTCACCTCTTTTTTTCCATCTATGTCAGATCAAATTATTCCACCATCTTTTACAAGAAAACTGAAGCAGACGGAAGGTATCAAAGGATCATTCGCTCATCTGGAGTGTCTTGTTTCCGGCTCCCTGCCGATAACCATACAATGGTACAAAGATGAGAAAGAGATCCAGACTGACGAAAAACACAAATGCACATTCTTTGAGAATGTTGCTTTCCTGGAAATCTCTAATCTTGACAGTAAAGACAGTGGCAGCTATACCTGCATTGCTAAAAACAAGGCAGGAACCGTCCAATGCTCTGGGATCTTATTTGTCAAAGGTTTGAGCAAAATTTGAGTTTTGTGGTATTTAACAGTCGATTGATGTATCTAATTAAAGTATAGCTACACAACTAAAAGGATCTTTGTGCAGCTTTAACAAGCATTGATTCGTTTTTCTCTTCCAGAACCACCGTGCATTCTCGAAAAGCCTGAATCCATGAATGTTTTGCCTGGCTCAAAGGTCCAGTTTAACGTACTGTTCTCTGGCACGCCGCCACTGACCACCAAATGGTTTAAAAACAAGAAAGAGATTTTATCCAGTGCCGACTGTAATGTGATCAAAGACAACACCTCAAGCTCACTGGAACTCTTCTTTGCCAAAACTTCAGATTCTGGAGAATATGTCTGTGAAATACAGAATGATGTCGGCTCCACATCATGCCAGGCAACACTCTTTGTCAAAGGTTATCATTCTTTATTTGAAACTGAGCCAGTAAATATGTCTCCATCCATCTGTTCTTTTGGACATTTAAACCTTTGTCATGTCAGCAAAACCCTAAATTGATACACTTTAGGTCATGGACCCTCATTTGATAAAATTTCACTTTAGAGACCTCTGTCTGACAAGATTTTGGTTGTTAAATATGTTTCAGACCATAATTCTATTGTTATCAACCACAGTTGAGGAGATAACCGTCCAAGAAGTGAAACCTGTGATCAGGACAGTCAGTGGCTGCGGTTACATGATGGCTTCTCATTCAGAATGGAATAAATCAGAATGAAATCATTCGGAATTAAAGTCTTTCCAGATAGTTTACATGAGAAATATTCATTCAGAATTAGGGTTTACATGGGAGATCAGTTTATTAATCGCCTTTATTCGGGTCTGCGCAAGGTTTGGGGCAGGGAAGGTTTCTGATTGGATAGGGGGCAGGGCGGATGTTATGTGTTTACGTTTACCCGAAGAAAACACTGTAGTCCTCGCTCCGGATAACAAGATGCTTGACGCCGCCGTTCTTAGTGCCTTTTTCGGGCTTGTTTTGCTTATATTCTCAAAGCAGCAGTATGACAACAACCTTGTTCTGCTAATGCTTCGTCTGTTGAGGAGGAGAAGGGAGGTAGAAGGTCGAAGAAGGGAGATAGAAGGCCGTGCTTTGGCATATGGAAACAGGTGAGTGCAACGAGTCTGACTGCTCTATCTCAGCCCGTTGATATGTGCGCTAAATATGCCATCATGCCAAAAGGGCAAGGAAACGAGCATGCGCAGAAAGGCCGGAATGAATTTAAAGAGGAATGAGCATTTACATGCACACAAAATTCTTTCATTCAGAATGACAAACGGAATAAACCACCCCCTTTAATTGGATTTAATTTGCAATCGGAATGACCATTTTTCAATCGGAATGACCGTTTATATGACCACTTTTAATCGGAATGGCCTTTCATTTTAAATGAAAGTGGAATTAAACTGTCCATGTAAATGTACTGACTGTTATGACTCTTACCCACCTTGGACTTTCTTCTATAGTGAAATAAATAGTGAAAATAAACTATTTCCTATTTTTCTGGGGACCCCTGGACAACACATTCTCACTTCGACCTTGTCACGTATCGATGTTTGGTTATGGACTTTCCACATTGAGATATGATGTGCAAGTACCCTGGATGCCCTGGTTGTTGAGGTTCTGGGATGCCGTGTCAGCCTGTTACATGCAATTGTCTGTTTTTAAAGTTCACTTCTGTTTTCACAGGAATTTTACAGTTTCTTTCAAAATAAATGCACTACATTGGTAGAAAACTGTGATTTTTTCCTTCAACAACAAATGTACGTGGTTAGGTTTAGCCAACACAAAAACGTTGTTGGGTTTAAGAATAAACAACAGGGTTTGGCTTCAATCTTATGGGAAACAGAGGCCTCCCTGGTGACAGTTGGTGGTTATTGGACCCATCCACCACCCCTCCCACTCTGCTCGGACTTGCACCACCTTAATTTTCGTTGTTGTCCCGCCGTATTTCCCCCTGACGCCACCAGCCATGTATCATGCTGACGTGAAAGGACAGCTTTTTTTGTCGTATCAGACACTGGAAGTCATTGACCAAGCACCAGATTTTGACTTCAGAATGAGACGAGGTTGTCCTGGAACTCCCTCAAGGTCCCCGGAGAGTGCCCAAACCTCTGGTTTAGAACCACTGTGACAGAGTATTGATTGGGATCTGCCCTTTAATGAAACAAGACGAAGAAAAAGAGGTCATCCATACTGCACTGTATATATGACCCTTTGTAGCTCTGTTTTTGGAGAATCTCTCCATACTTATAACAGCTCCAACATGACAACAAGGAATTCCACAAAGGTTCCAAAATGCTTTGCTGAACTGTAAAAGTCAGTCAAAGAGAAACTCCTGTTATCCTCTTCAGGGTATTCACACAAAAACAACTGATAGAAACACTTTGCTTAAAATGTCAACATTTGGATGGAAACATATACATTGTCAACTTTACAGAGATCAGAGTATTCCCCTGGTTGTCTGGCTCATCGTGACATCTAACTTTTTATTTTGTTTCTTAGAACCCCCTAAGTTCACACGAACACCAGCTCGTATGTCTGTGGTCCGTCCTGGTCAGAGTAAAGTGTTTGAGTGCCAGGTGACTGGCACACCTGAGATAGACATCTACTGGTTCAGGGAAGGTTCTGAGATCAGCCCCAGTGACCGATACAAGATGGTCTTTGTTAACTCTGTGGCCACTCTGGAAATCTGTGGGCCTGATACCAAAGACAGCGGGGTTTACTACTGTGAGGCTCGCAATGAGGCCGGCAGTGAGAGCTGCAGCATGGAGCTCAAGGTCAAAGGTTAGTTGTGTCGAAAGACATGGTGTGTGCTGTGCAAGTGTTTTAAGGATATAGGAATCGGATGCAAGTTTCCCAAACATCATGGAGGCCTTCTCAGATTATCTGCAGAACAGAACTGTATCTCACTGATTTCAGTTCCAAGTTTAAAAAGATTTTTTTAAAATTGAAAATCACTATTTAAAAAAATGGGGGCATCCTTTATAAGGACTAACTGGCCCAGCAGATTGCTTAATGGACCTTAAAGGACCAGTGTGCAGGATGTAGTGGCATCTAGCCGTGAGCTTGCAGACTGCAACCAGCTGAATATCCCATCCCTCACCACATGTGTAGTAGAACCTACGTTGGCCTGCAGGTAACACGAAAAGGATGAAAAGGATGGATGGATGGATGGATGGATAGATATGGTTTGTCTGTTCTGGGCTACTGTAGAAACATGGCAGTGCAACATGGTGATTTCCATAGACAAGGACCTGCTCCCGATGTAGATTTAAATGTCTCATTCTAACAAAAACACAATGATTCTTATTTTCAGCTGATTATATACTAAAGAAAACAGACTAATTATATTATATTTCATGTCCGACAATACATCCCCCTAAATCCTACACACTGGACCTTTAAAAAGTTCCAATTCTGTGCCAAACCGGCTAGAAATATTTCTATGGGAAACTTTGCTTCCAAAAGTACCGTAAAACTTCATTTAAAAGCCTAGTCCCATTTACCTGCCTTGCAAGGCTACACATTTTGACAAGTAAAGGCCTGTCTCAATTAGAGGCCTGGTCTGGGTGCCAAGCAGTTAATTTTTATAGAAGTTCTGTGGATGTATAAAACCGGGTTGTTGGCTACTTTAAATTATGTGTCCATTTCTCATTTACGCTGTAAGTTATTCATTCTCCTTTAGTCTGCAAGGGTCCTCTGATCGAAAAAATCAAAAGGGTTTTTCATAAAAATGTATCCAAGTTGTGAGTATTGTTTTAACAGGATTTGTGTCACTATACCGGGTGTTGTAATCCTCAAGTTTTGTAACGCTCTCTCTGATGTGCTGTCTGTTGGAGCTACGTCAAATTAATGATTCATAATTGTTATATTATCTGAGGCCTCATTTTATACAAGTATTCATACTTAATATTCAAAGTGGTTTAAATAAACAATTTGATTGTTTTCCTGATCTTCACACATCTTCACACTTTTGTGTGAAAGATTTTAAAGGCCTGTCCCAAATATAAGCCTGCTGGGTTCAGTGATTTAAGCAAATAATTGAAGTTTCACGGTACGTAAACTACTGATGGAGTCTATCTGTGGCGTAAAATGTTTTGACAAAAGGTAGGTGACATTTTGTTTCCTCTCACCTCAGAACCGCCATCATTTATTAGAGAGCTGGCTCCAGCTGATGTTGTGAAGGGCTCCAGCGCCTGTTTTGAGTGTCAGGTCGCTGGGACTGGTCCTTTTGAGATTACGTGGCACAAAGATGCAAAGGAGATCAAACCCAGTGCTAAACATGGCTTCTCCCAGATGAATGAAATTGTGGGTCTAGAGGTGCACAAATGTGATGCTGTAGATGTCGGTGAATACCAGTGTACTGTTGCTAACGAGGTGGGAAGCTGTACTTGTAAGACTACACTAAAGCTCAAAGGTTTGTCTCATCATAAATTACAAATCCACATTTTGATTGTAAGAGGTGATAACTGACTGTTTATTTTAACATGCTATTGGTTTTGTCTGATAGAACCACCAACATTTACCAAGAGGATTGAGAACACTGCCACTGTTCTGGGTAAAAAGGCAGAGTTTCAGTGTGTTGTGAAGGGTTCTCCTACTCTCTCTGTACAATGGCAAAAAGATGAGAACTGGATTTTGGAGGATCCAAAGATTGAGAGAACATTTGAGAGCAATGTGGCAACTCTCAGGATTCCTGCCTGTGAGGCAACGCACAGCGGGAAATACACCTGCCAGGTGGTAAACGAGGCAGGGCAGGATAAGTGCTTTGCCACCCTAACGGTGCAAGGTATACCTGTGCTTAACCAATCATGGTTTTCATATCTTTCTATGGTCCTAACTTTGTTAGAAACGTTATGAATGTTTGACTTTGCTTTGCATTGTAGAACCTCCTCAGATCACAGAGAAACCTGAAGTGATAAAGGTTACAGTTGGAGATCCAGTCAATCTGGACTGTAAGGTAACAGGTTCCCCTGAGCTTAAAGTGAAATGGATGAAAGGTGGCAGGGAGCTTCAGTCCATCAGGCAGTACAAGCTGACCTTTGAGAACAACATCAGCAGCCTAAAGATTCAGTCTGCTCAGAAAGAGGACGAAGGAGAGTATCTCTTCGAGGTGGCAAACCACATCAGTAGCTGCACCTGCAAAGTCAAAGTGATCGTACTAGGTTGGTTTGAAAAACATAAAACTGCTGTGGTACATAGTGACATGTTGAATAAAGTCTAACTGCTTTCTTATTATTCTTTTGGTAACAGAACAAGTAATTGCACCAAGCTTCATCAAACCCCTCGTAGACATGCAAGAGATTTTGGGCTCCTTTGTTCATATATGTTGCAAAATATCTGGTTCCCACCCCATCACTGTGGAATGGCAGAAGGAGGGGGCCAAAATCTCTAGTGGTGTAAAACACAAACTCATTCAGCAGGACAATTCTGTGTCAGTTGAAATCGAACAGCTAGAGAGATCTGACGCAGGATCCTACTCTTGCAAACTGACCAATGCAGCAGGAAGTTGTCAGTGCAGCGGATCCCTCATGGTTAAAGGTTAGACTATGCATTCCATTGTGATTGGTCATGCAGTCCTTAATCAAAGGTGAGTACCTCTTTAACATGGTCTGTCTTGTTCTCTTCAGAACCTCCCAGCTTTGTGACATTGCCTGAGCCCCAGGCGGCTCTACCCAACAGCACTGTACGCTTCAAAGGCACATTTAAGGGAACCCCTCCCTTCACGGTCAAATGGTTCAAGGAGGACACAGAGCTCATGACCGGGCCCACTTGTTTCACAGGGCTGGAGGGGCTGTCTTGCTTTTTAGAGCTCTATTCAGTGGGTGTCACCCAGAGTGGAGTTTACTCTTGCCAAGTCAGTAACGATGCTGGCTCTGTACGCTGTAGTGCAGACTTGAAAGTCAAAGGTTTGACTTACATCTTTTCAATCAACTCTTGTGTGGCTGTGTTCATCTACATCTGCATTGCTGGCTGAAACTCGTGATTCTCTGTCACATTTTCCCAGCTTTTGAAGCCTTTCAGTGTTACCATTTGAAGCTTTTTCACTGTTGCAACTTCTCATCAAGAACTGTTTGTTGCCTTTCTGATACACCTGCATTTTCCACAATCATCGCATCTCTGTTGCTAACCCATCATTGTCAGCTCATCTCATCTCCTCACCACCTGCCTGCTCTAACAACAACCGTAAGTTTCCCTACACACCTCAGAAGCTAATATGTCTCATTTCGGCTTTGCAGAACCACCCGAGTTTGTGCTGAAACTCCCTGCCACTAAGTTTGTGAAGCAGGGTGAGTCACTCCGCCTGGAGTGCAAAGTCAGTGGCACAGCCCCTCTGAAAGTGACCTGGTACAAACATGACACCAAGGTCACGGATGGGGGCAACTACAGGACATCATTTGTTGACTCAGTGGCAGTCCTGGAACTGCTCTCCACCAACTTTGATGATGATGGAGTTTATACCTGCGAAGCTCAGAATGATGCTGGCAGTGTCAGCTGCAGCACCACACTTACTGTGAAAGGTCAGCCTCTCACTGACTTCCTCTTCATCATTCATTATTCATGGTCTGACTTATGCACTGGCTGTTCAGTGTGTTGGAGTCGTAGTCAAAGTTTTGTTGTATTGCTTAAAGCTGAAATGCGTAACATCTTTAGAAGTCCTTTAAATCGGGATGGTATGATATGGTGCGCTGGCCGGCAATCGGGTCCATCATCTTGTTGGATTGCCCATGCTTGAACATTTTCAGTCAAATAAACAGCTCAATATAAAATCCTCCAAAATAATTTAGCTGTAGTCCCAACAACATTTCACATTTAATCCAAAGTCTTTGTTGTAGTCCCAGCAAATTTCCACATATCGGCTATCTTAGCTAAAGTTTCATCATCTTTCCACAACAGCTTTATGTTCGGTTCAATTCCACAACTCCATCTGGACTGTAGCTTTAACATCCATCTTTACCCAAAAAATCCACCATGTTAGCTGTAGTACCACCAAACAATCACAAGTCTGCTAACAGGAAGGTAGTTCTAAACAATTCCACATCAATTCTGCTATCTTAGCTGTAGTTTCAAGAAATTTTTACAACTCAGCAGCCTTGACTGTACCTTTCAAGAGCGTGGCAGCAGCTTGCATCTGAGGTTACTAAGCAACCTCAACAAGCACCGTATGATAGTCTATTTACCTGAAATCCTGAGTGCAGAGCTAATCTTCTTCCAGGCACTGTTTATTAAGTGTGTAGGGCTATTGTCTGTGGGAGAGATGAAAAGCTGTGGCAGTCCTGCACCGAAATGATCAACCTTTCTGTATTTGTCACAGACTGATATTTATGGAAGAAGGGAAAAATATCTGTGACTGGTTATTCCTCGTCACATGACATGCGGTGCAGGCTGCTGCATTCCAAAGGTTGAACTCCGTTTATCTCAGAGTGCAGCCGTCACACCCTAAAAACGTCTACATTGAAAACGATGAATTTGAGGGCACAAATAACGCGACATGTGTACGACTCCTTAGTTGTTTTAGTTGTTACATGATCCTTCTACAACAACTCCACCATCTCAGCCTAACTGGACCTCCAACAACTTCCCAAAACAACGTCGCTAGGTTAGCTATAGTTCCATCAAATATTCCCAAGTCCGCCATCTGGACTATAGATGGATGAATTCACTGCTATCGGAGTTGTACTTTACATAAATATTTACAACTCAGCAGCCTTGACTGTAGTTCCAACCACCTCCCCTCAGCAACACGCCATCTTAGCTGTAGTTCCAGCAAACTTCCTTAACAACGCCACCATCTTAGCGTTGGGCCTTTTGCCACTTCCAAGTGTGACAGGACATGACATGTTACGGATTTCAGCTTCAAGATTTCGCCATGGATTCTTTTCCAGTGTATGCCTCTTTAACAGTTTCCTGATCTTTTTGTAGACCCACCATCTTTTGTCAAAGTACCTCAGCCCATTGAAGGGCTTAAGGGTAAGGACGTGAGTCTGTACTGTGAGATGAGTGGTACAGCTCCGTTCCAGATCACCTGGTTCAAAGACAGGAAACCTCTGATGGAAAGCAGGAAGTATAAGATGGTGAGTGAGGGCAGCTCGGCTACGCTGCATGTCATTGGGATAGAGCCCACGGATGCCGGCGAATACGAGTGCAAAGTGTCAAACAGTGTAGGAAGTGACACCTGCCAGACGTCAGTTAAACTCAGAGGTCAGTAGAAACTGCGATGGTCTCAAATGGAAATCATAAGCATTCCATTTTCAGGTTATTTTGTCACCTTGCTGACTTTGCCTTCTGCGCTGTTTTTCTCCTCTTCTCAGAGCCACCGTCGTTTGTGAAGAAACTGTCAAACATGACAGTGAATATGGGAGAGGAGGTGACCCTTGTGGCCACTGTTAAAGGCTCTGAACCCATTACTGTGTCCTGGGTTCAGGACAAGGATCACATTCTCAGGGACGGTGACAACAGGAAAATCACCTTTGAGAACAACCAGGTCGCTCTTAAAGTGTTTAAGGCTGATGCAACCACGGCAGGCAAATACACCTGCCAACTCAGAAACGATGCTGGGAATGTGGAGTGTTTCGCTAACTTGACTGTTCTAGGTTCGTAATCATATAATTCTCTCTTTCTCTGTTCCCTGTCAGTTTTTTTTTTTCAACCTTCTCTCCTACAGGTTTGATTAAGAACATGTTCTGCTTCCTCTCTGTTGATTTCCAGAACCCGCTATGATTGTGGACAAGCCTGACACTCTGAGTGTGACGGCGGGCGATATTGCCGCCCTTGAGGTCAAAGTGCGTGGAACCCCAGAGCTCACACCAAAATGGTTCAAGGATGGTGTCGAGCTGGCCTCTGGGAGGAAATACAAAATCTCATTTTCTCAGATGATTTCCAGCCTAAATGTTCTCTCTGCTGAGAAAATGGACTCTGGAGAATATACGTTTGAGGTTATGAACCAGGTCGGGAAGGACCTGAGTAAAATTAATCTCACTGTCTTAGGTTAGTGTCTTCCTCATACTTGGACTTCAATTACTAGGGATTTAGTTACAATACCAAAATTACTGTAGATATTTTCTCATTGTTGGTTTTATAACTAACTTTAAGAAACATAGATTTCTACAAACAGTGGCAGATCTAGAGCATTTCAAATGGTGGGGTAGGCAGGGGCCACGTGGTTTTAGGGATTCCAAATATATCAAGCACAACTGTTACATACAACCACCACCCCCACTGGTTCTGGTTCTCCAAAAGACCAACGATACAACAATAAACTGATTTTATTTATTACTTGCTATAAATAATCACAGTCTCCTACCTCTGGAGATAAATGTACGGAAATATTTGCCACAGTTGGGGGGCAAAGGGACACTGCCCCTCCCTTAACCTCCCTTAGATCTGCCATTGTCTACAAACCTTTTTAAAGTTTAACAGAAGCAAAGCTCTCAAATGTTAAAACATCCTTAAACACAAACAGCCATACAAGAAGCGTAAACACCACCCAGTCTAAAAGTCACTAAACTCATTAAAAAACTCTTCACCTGCAAGATGACCATTTGTATTGTATCGGTTACTCACTGGGTGTTACTTAAATCTTCTTTTTTGCCTCCATTGTGAACAGAGAAATCAAAAAAGATGAACATTCATCATGAAACAGAGACCATGTTTGACAACAGCAAAACTATATTACTATATTACTGAAACTATAACCTCTGTTTACAGAGTAGTGGTGTAAGGTACTCATGATGGGCTCGACTACACGCTATTATGACCGGCCCTGGTGCTATTGTGGACTATCATCTCGTCACATGATCAGAGACTTGACATTGAATAACATCAACATACGTAATACCCAGCAATAATCATTGCATATCTCTACATGACAAAAAATACCAAAGAAAATAAGAAATTAATTCAATTTAACAATGTTAATTATTTGGAATAATCATATAATTTTGTCATAGATGCTACCAATTATTTACAAAAAATTTAAAAAAACATGACACAGATGGGTTTACCTTTTTCAAGGGCATATATAGCAAATGACACTGTTTTAATTTAATAAGAGATCTTTGAACACAGGCACATTTTCAAGTCAGCAGTCACTCATGAGGGGCTGCTCTCTCCATGGGCCCCACCACCTCACTGGCCCAGTGCAACTGCACTGCATACACTGTCTATATTTACGCCACTGTTACAGACTCAGACAACTCATGCAGTATAATCCAAGTCTCATTTATCCAGTCATATAATTAATACTTTATAAACGCATTTATTTTCACTTAAACACTGCAGTATAATGCTGCATTCATGCTCCTTGGATGGTCCCATTTCCTGAGTTGGGAAATACTTCTATAGATGTGGAGATGACATGGGTGCAACAGAGAAGATGTATTTTACTGGTTAGAGCATTTAAACATCATGTTAACAGTTTAAAGCGTTTTATTACAAAGTGATTTTTGTCCCAGACTGGTAGCTGCACCAGTTCATCCACTAAAACCACTAAAATATTGCTTTACCTGACAAATGCTATTAAATAACTTTTCCAACTAATATGGGTCACTCTATATAGACAGCAACTAATGGCTATAATCTAATAGCAAATCACATGAGAAAAAAGTTGACATGCGATATTTTACTCAATAAAAAGTTACCATCAACCCAACATTTTCCATGGTCCACCATGTTTGTTCATATATGACCTCAGCTCGGCAACTCCAAAGTTTTCGTCCACTTTCAAATGGTTGTTCGGACTTGAGGGAGTATTCACGTGAATTTTCCCAGTCAGGAACTAATTTGTCTGATTATTCTGACACTACATGAATGCAGGGTAAAACACTTCTGCCCACTTGTAGCACACCCTCAGCGTGCCTGAGCATGTGTACGTAAAAAACAGAGTTCAAACACACGCTTGTTTAATATTTTACAATCATTTCTGTTTTTTCACAGTTTCAGGCTACAAAACATGGTGTAATTTTGCAATTTAAATGCCAAAATGACATCACCATTATTTGGAAAGCAATTGCCAAAATTCGGAAGATAAAACACCAAAATTTGGAGGGCAATTGCCAACCAAACATTTTCTCTGGTCCACCACGTTTCTTCATATATGACCTCAACTCAGTAACTTGTGTTCCAAAATTTAGTCCACTTTCAAATGGTTGTTCCGACTTGAGTGTTCATGTGAATTTTCCCAGATGGGAACTCGTTTTTCTGACTGGTTAAATGAGACTTGGATTATGCTGTCCGAGTTGCTTGAGAATTTGTAAACAGATGTTTTGATATAGCTTTACTGTTATAATAGTAATAAACTCCATTTATATGGCACTTCATATGAGAAATGCAACACAGGGTGCTTTACAATAAGGGCAGTATAGCCACTGAGTGCTTCACATAGAAATAGACATAATGGATATAAAACTATAAATCATAAAATCAAAAGAGTTTCAGCAGCATGAAGTTTAAAAAGAAAAGTGTACTGTTGTTAAACGTGGACCCTGTTTACTTCAGTCCATCAAGAGTGTTTACCTCTTTTGGATTCTTTGTTCACTGAGAGAAAAACAAAGTTTTCTTTATGAATATAATGCAACATGAGGTGAGTAAGTGGTCTAAAAATTGGCATTTTGGTTGTGAAGTATTCCTTTAGTCTCACCAGACATTCAGGTCAGCTTTAAGCACTTGACAGTTTTCAGTAGTTTGTACCAAAAAGCACAGAGGTTTTATCTCCAGCCCATAATGACAGCACATTTACACTTGTGTTTGTTTGTTGCGATGCAGCATTAACCCCTCGTTTCCTTCCCAACAGATAAGATCATCCCTCCAAGCTTCTCAAGGAAGTTGAAGGATTGTCAAACAGTGGTAGGAACAGCCGGAGAGTTGGAGTGCAAAGTGTCGGGCTCCCCACCTTTTACCATCTTCTGGTACCATGATGGGGAGGAGATTCAGAGCGGACCAAACTATGAGATTTCATTCAGCAGCAACAGCTGCTCACTCAGAGTGGCCACACTGAAGCTGTCCGACTCTGGAGTTTATAAATGTAAAGCTGTCAACAAGGCCGGATCCAGTGAGACCACGGCCTCACTGGTGGTTAAAGGTCAGAAACTACTGCTGGGTAGTTTAATCCACATCAACACATCAGATTCTGTAAGATCATATGTTTGTCCTGTGAGAACCATGTGTCTCTAAAAAGTCAGAAAAACAGCCTGTTTTCAGCTTTGTGACGACGACTTTTACAGCTGATCCAAGAGGGTTTAAAGAGTTGATATATCAACAGATAACAGGTCTGACAGTTATTCACAAATGTCCTGCATAAAGACATCTAGAAATCCATGCTTTTTACTGGACAGGAGGGAACTAAAGCTGTTGGACAAATGAAGTGCAGTAAAAAGTCCAATATGTAACTCTTAGATGTAGAATGAAATGAAAATACTTTAGTAAAATACAAGTACCTCAAATGTTACTACAGTACTTGTACTACATGATGTGTCTAAGGCTTGTTGGAATTTGGGAAAAACCAACAATAATTTCTGTCTTTGCAGTGTCAGGCTACGAAAAATGGTGTAATTTTTACAATTTAATGCCAAAATTACATTGCCAAAATTTGGAAGGCAAATTGGCAAAATTTGGAAGGCATGTTTCCCTTTAGAAAATGCCAGAAATGAAATTGGTAGAATTTTGAAAATACACAAATTTGGAAGTTAAAGGCAGAGTTAGGAAGACATGTTTTCTTTAAAAATCAAAAATTACATCACCTAAATTAGGAAAATACCCAAATGTGCGAGGCGAAGTTGTAAAATTTTGAAGGCTTGTTTTGTTTAAAAATGCCCAAATGTGGAAAATTGCCAAAATTTGGAAGGCGAAATGCCAAAATATTCTTTTTAGAATGTCAAAATTACATAGCTAAAATTTGGAAAATTGCTGAAATTTGGGAAGCAGTTTCCCTTCCCAAATTTTTAAAAGTGTCAAAATTACATTGTCAATATTTGGAAAAAAAACTGGAACATAAAAGCTTCAAAATGTACAGTGGGGTGTTTACTTATGAATTTTATGTCGTAGAACAATATTGTGAAAAGTCTCTTCATCTTGTGTTACAGACTACTACCGACACATTTAAAAAAACCCACTGACTTCAAGACAAGGGAACAGGAAGTGCTAACATGCTAACTCATTTCCGGGTTTTAGGACTCATTCCTGCACCACTCTGTCGTTTAACACTCAGATTCCACCATGTTTGATCTGTTACTGTCGCTTTTATCCAGAACCTCCATCGTTCGTGGTGCCGCCACAGCCGGTGGAAGCCAAGCCCGGCTCTAATGTGACGTTCTCAGCCATGGTGAAAGGCAGCGCGCCGCTTAAACTGAAGTGGTTCAGAGGAACGAAGGAGATCATGCCTGGACAGGGCTGTGATTTCTTCCTGAAGGATAACCAAGTTATTCTGGAGCTCTTCAAAGTGGACAGATCTCACGCTGGAGAGTACACCTGTCAGATCATTAATGATGCAGGAAAGGAGAGCTGTCCAGTTAATCTCACCATCAAAGGTCAGTCTGACACTGACGTCATATTTCTCCTCTATAATCCCAAAATCTGTTAGTGAAGTGTGACTGTTTTTGCACCATTACGTGGATCCAGACTTTTGGTAGCTTAGTCAAGGGAGCATGTAGTGATACTGAACAACATACCAGTCACTTCACACAGCACTTGATTCCTGCTACAGGTGTAAAAGTTCAGTATCTACAGCAAAATAAACTGCAAGTAGCAAAAAGTAGTTAGTATGAGGCAGGATGTTTTCTGGTGTTGTTATTTTATTACATATTACATTACTGTATTAAAGTTTGTGATGCAGGGAAGCTCATTTAAAATTCGTTATATACTGCTGGGTAGTTGAACTGTAACACTAGGCCCAACTACTACTAGGTACTAACAAAATAAGAACAAATGGATATGAAAATTTGTTGGTACATTGTTCCTGCACGAGGCCCAGTGACTCGGCTGGTTCCACCTCTAGTTACAGTCAAAAAATGTTCCTTTCAACATTGACGTTAATCAGTATTCTTCTAACACTCTAATTCTCTCTGTTTGTCGTCTCATAACATCCTCTTTCTGAATTAAACTCTGTGTTTGGTTGTGTCACTCAGAGCCGGCAGCCTTTTCTAAGAAGCTGAAGGACGTGTCAGTGGAGAAAGGCAAACCGTTAACGTTGGAGTGTAAGTACACTGGAACTCCTAAAATCACAGTGAACTGGTACAAAGATGGCCAGCAGATCTTCGCTTCCTACAAATACAACATCACCACGACTGAGAGCTCCTGCATCCTTGAGTGTCTGAGCACTGACGACAAGGAGGCCGCCGGAAGATACTCCTGCGAAGTGTCCAATGACGCCGGGAAGGACATGTGTGACGCAGCCGTGTCCATCCTCGGTCAGTTTAACTTGTAATAATCTGTCTGCTGTTGTTGTTTCACAGATTTTACTGTTTCTGTGTGTCTCTGTGGAAACTTCAAGCACTGATTCTGTGATGATCCACCAAGACACGTCCTTTTGACAAACTAAAGACAGAACGGTCACGCCGGAATTCCACTGGGTGCGTGTCCGTTGCGGAACGGCTGCGCTGGTTATCCGCTGCGTGCTTCACCGTTCGTCAACACCCACCAGCTGCATTTGCTGTGCAGCTCTACCGGACATCGGAAGTCACGAGGACCCACGAGATCTCGTGAATTCATGCATAATCACGTGATATAACAAGATGTAGTTTCTATAAACAGAACCACAAAACCAGAGGAGTAGTGATTAATATCTCCTCGTCCATGGTGTTAACGGGGTGAAATGACATCTGAAAACCTCTGACCTGTTGACTTCAGGCCTGCCTCCGCCCATTATGATGTTTTCAAGGTGTAGTGCAGGGAAATATGATCCGCTGCGAACACTTTGTATTTTATTTTGAAAATTAACCGGATGTCTTATTTTGTTTCTGTGCACGACTTTCTGCCCCGCATGATCTGCTCCTAGCTGAATTGCTGCACTGTGCTTCGGCATCCGGCAAACATACAAGTCCTGCGTATCAGCCGCTGCCGGTGGAAACACACACATTGACTAGAATTGAAACGTATCGGCTCTGCTGCCGTTCTGGAGCGCAGACGCAACCAGCACGCATCTGGTGGAATTTGAGGGTCACAGATTGTCCTCAGTTAGTCTCTGCAGTACCTGTAAAGTCCAGCAGGTGTCAGCTTTCACTCACATGTTCTCTGCCGTTTGTTCCCACAGAGCCACCGTACTTCGTGGAGTCCCTGGAGCCCATGGAGGTGACCTCAGGTGACAGTGTGTGTCTGAAGTGTCAAGTGGCCGGCACACCTGAGATCAAGGTGTCATGGTTCAAGGCCGATGGAAAGGTGCGGTCCAGCCCCACCTGCAAGCTAGAGTACTCCAAGGGCGTGGCCTGTCTGAAGCTCAGCAAAGCCACCAAGGCTGACATCGGAGAGTATACCTGCAAGGCAGAGAACAAGATAGGCTCCGCCTCCTCCACCTGCAAACTCAATGTGCTCGGTAAACACCTGATTCTAATGTCCACTCTAAAGTTGTGTCATTTAACAGGTTTGACTTAAAAATAAACACGACTAAAGTGAGAATCATATTTCTGAAAATAACATGAAATAACACAAACTGTTTCTAGAGCAGGGTTTTTTTATTCTTTTGTGAATATATTAATTTATAATATAAAATCACAAAGTGATAAAAAGACAAAAACGGATATGATTTAGTAAAAATGGAGGTAAAAAAATAATTAAAACAAAGCAGGTGTATCACCAGGTGAGTCTGGAGCTTCTTTTTAAAGATCTCTGACCGACAGGAAGTACAAAATCTGATTATTCAAAAAAAGGGGGGGGGGGGGCACAAAAAGTTTGAATAAAATGTACTTTCCTGTAAATAACCTTTCCTCCATCTTTTTCGTCTCCAGAGGCAAAAACGCCACCATCCTTCCCGAAGAAGATCACCAGCCTGCAGCAGACAAAGGGTCAGCCAGTCCGCTTTGAGTGCCGCGTCGCCGGCTCGTCACCCATCGAGGTGTCTTGGCTGAAAGACGGCGAGCCTCTGAGACACGGAGGCGAGTTCTCCATGCTGTATGATGACAACACGGCCGTGTTGGAGATCAGCAGCAGCGAGATGAGGCACTCCGGAGAGTACTCCTGTGTGGCCACCAACAGCGTGGGCACCGCCTCCTGCAGAGCCAAGCTCACGCTGCAAGGTCTGTGCTACGTCTCCATACTGCACGGGGTTAATGGAGGTTAACACATCAGTCTGATGTTTCACCTATGACCTCGTTTTTAAATCCTCAAATCAACTTCAGCTCACTTTCTGACTGGAGTTGGTTTCCTGTACAGCATGAAAACCAGGCAAAGTGTCGTACTCGTCACATAGACGACATGTTTGTTTAAGAAAATATTTTCAGCTTAAAGGAATCACACGTGTCTCTGTTTCTCTCTGTCTGTCTGATATTAATATTTCCGCTTTTCCACCGTCTCTCCAGAACCCAGATACCCGCCAGTCTTTGACAGGAAGTTGGCACCACAGGAGGTGACGGTTGGCGACAGCATTGAGCTTGAGTGCCACATGACTGGCTCCACCCCCATTAAGGTCACATGGTCCAAAGACCATAAAGATATCCGCTCCGGGGGGAACTATAAGATCAGCTGTGTGGAGAACACGCCCCACCTGACCATCCTGAAGGCAGATAAAGGTGACACAGGGAGGTACTTCTGTCACGCCTCCAACGACATGGGCAAGGACTCCTGCTCCTCTGACATCACTGTCAAAGGTATTTATCAACCACCACCTCCACCCTCTCTTCATTTACACAGAACGCACTTCCTGTCCTCACCATCACTTCCTCCTTCCTCCTCTCTCAGAGCGTAAAAACCCTCCGGTGTTCACCAAGAAGCCGTCAGAGAACATCGAAGACATGGAGGGCAAACTGGTGAAGATCGAGGGCAGAGTGTCCGGCTCGCAGCCCATGTCCATCAGCTGGTTCAAAGACAACACGGAGATCTACAGCTCCGACAAATATGACATTAGCTTCAAGAGCAACGTGGCCGTGCTGTGCATCAAGAGCAGCCAGGTGACGGACAGCGGCAGGTACTCCTGTCAGGCCTCCAACGAGGCTGGAAGAATTTCCTGTGACGTTGTCGTGGGAATCTCAGGTGGGTTCACACTCAGTGCAGCTGGAAGCTGGTATACAGCTGTTACCACTCTCCTCGCTCCAAACCATAGTTGGGAACACGCTGGCTTATTAACCTTTAATTTTAGCTTGGGTTGTTATTAGGTGGGAACTAGCTTCTAGTGGTCCAGACCACTCTGCAGAAGGAAGGATGGCGAGGCGTTCAGGTGCCGTTCACCAACATGGCTTTAATACAGTCTTCAACACAAAACAATAAACCCTAACTCCTAACCCTTCTCAGACACTTAATTCTGCTGACTATCATCACCACTCTATGCTGCCCGCCGTCTTCACCATGACACACCCAAAGAGCTTCCTTCCACATATACTATAAAGCACAAGTCACACCCTCACAGGTTTCCCACAAGGCCCTCGCCCTTAAAGGGGAAAAAGGGTGATCTGGTAACACAGTGAATATACACTGTAGTGCTGAAACAGTGACTTGATTTGAGTTAATTATCTCCAGTCTCTTTGACTGTCTGTGTTTTCGTATCTCAGTGAACTGAATATCTTTAGATCAGTGGTTCCCAGCCTGCGGGTCCCGACACCCAGTAGGGGTCACCAAATCTCCACAGGGGGTCACGTGGCCTTCTTGATTTTAAGGGGTGTATGTAAACTCTTTAAATATATACAGTAGGGTTAAATCTCAGGATTTCATTCATTAAACTAAAGCTAAACAGCTTCACCCTAAAGTTTGAATGTCTCAGGAGTAGGGAGAAAAAAAAACACTCAATTTGACAAAATCAGAAGTCTATTAGGTATGTATTGTCGTGAAAAATATAAATGAATAAATAAGTAAATACATAATAAAGACAGGGAATTGTATAAAAAGCTCCAAAAGATGTCAGGAAAACTTAAGATTACCATGACTTGGACGACTGAGACTCTCCACCGAAATTGTTGAAAAAGTTTTAAATATTAAATCCCAGAAACGACACGAGCAGAACAACTGTAAGCTAACTTTGTTCATCAAACGAATCGCAGTTGTTCCAACATAAGCAACTTTTTCTCATCTTCATGCACCGTGTTGTTAGGTATGTTTGTTTGCCTCACCTCGCTGGCGACAAAATCAAAGTGTCCCCCAGCTGTTCAGTGTGTTTTTCACTCTGGGACGGAGCACAATATGTGCTTTTGGTTTAGAAGTTCATGCCTGGGGGCTCAGTGACTGTCACCGTGTAATATGACATATTCTGGTTTCAATATTTGGAGTACAAAAACGAAAGCTCAGAAGAGTATACAACTGAAAATATGTTTCAGGGTGAAATGACGGAGCAAGTCACAAAAGTTGCAAATATTTGTAGTTTTTAAAGACATAAATACAAGATATGGACTCCATAATAATGAGATAGTGTTCTAATATCTTCATCTCTATAAGAAAACATAAACATGGTAGAACTGGTTTATTTTGTTGTATCTGCTGTTTCACAGTTCTGTTAGATCAGAGTGGATCAGGTGTTGTAGATGTTTAGATATTTGTTAGAGCGCTGACTCCAGATCAGCCCGCTGAAATAAAACCACCATGTCTCTCCTGCAGAAGCCAAGAAGCCTCCGGTGTTCGACGTCCCTCTGAAGCCACTGACTGTGGACGAGGGCGAGAGGTTGAGTCTCAGGTGTCACGTCTGCGGATCTCCACCTCTGAAGATCCAGTGGATGAAGGACAGGAAGGACCTGATGTCCGCTGGCAGCACCAGGATCAGCTTCTCCGACGGCACGGCCTGTCTGGAGATCAGCCAGGCCTCCCGACATGACGCCGGAGATTATCTCTGCAAGGCCACCAATGATGCCGGCACCGAGTTCTGCAAGGCTAGAGTCACCATCAAAGGTACGAGTAAAGAACATGTCATGATTGGTTGTGTCTCTGTCTGTTAAGATTAGAGCACCTGATCCCCCAATACTTCACCTGCACAATGACCATTTGTTAATCCATTACTCGTCCCGTGTTTCTTTTTTTCTCTTATGCCTCCATGATAAACAAAGAATCCCAAACCTGAGAAAATTCTTGATGAATTGATGTGCATGGTTTCACATTTAAGTTCAGTAAAACTACATCAAACCATCTGTTAACAAACTTTCACACAGCTGCTGCAGAATAATCAGTCTCATTTAAGGGTTTGTTCAGATCCATTGAGGCAGCAACAGTTGTAATGTTCCATCTTGTTGTTGTTGTTGTTTACAGAGAAACCAGGAGCAGCTCCGCCTCCTGCTGAAGCTCCAGCAGCCGCTCCAACCAAGAAACTGGAGAACCTGTTCTTCATCCAGGAACCCAAAACTGCGCACGTCACCGAGAGTGAGACACACAGCGCACAACCTATACACACAACTACACACCACTTGTTTCCTGTTGATGTTTTGTCTTGTCTGTGTTTTGTTTATTCTGTATTTTTGTCATTAAAATAAAATCTTTTTTTCTTGATGAAGATTTTTCACCAGTTTCAGTTAACTTGTCATAAAGACCAGGCTCTTGTAGTTCTCCTCCTCACTGTCCTCCCATCACTCCTCAGAGGGCACCGCCACCTTCATCGCCAAAGTGGGTGGCGACCCGATCCCCAGTGTGAAGTGGATGAAGGGGAAGTGGAGGCAGATCACTCACGGTGGCCGGATCTCCATCGAGCAGAAGGGCCAGGAGTCTAAGCTGGAGATCAGAGAGGTGACCAAGTCGGACTCGGGTCAGTACAGGTGCGTCGCCTCCATCAAACATGGAGAGATCGAGTGCAGTGCTGACATGCACGTAGACGAGAAGAAGGAGGCGGTACAGCTGGAGGGAGACCTGCGAGCCAAACTGAAGAAGTGAGTTCAGCTGAGTCTGTCTGGGACAGAATTTCAAAATTAATATTGTACCTTTTAATAACAATTTTATTTTCATTTAAAAAAGCAACACAAGATCCTACAACATGTTAAAGTTGAATGTCCAGGATCGCAAAGGGTCAGGAAATTTCTGGACATTTTCTAAGGGAAATTAAGATCAGAAATTTGGTATTTTTTAATTTTTTGCTTTCTTTATTTATTTTTTGGCACAGAGTCAATTCAGAAATTGTACCATTTCATAGTGAACTTATATGTGAGGGAATATACACACAAAAAAGCGACACTAGGTCTTACAGCTTGTTTTGGTTCAAAGTTTAGGATTGCAAATTGTCAGGAAATTTCCAGGGAAATTTTCGTAGGTTACCTGAGGGAAATTGAGATCAGAAATTTGGTAACTTGTTTTGGAGGAAAAAAACTCATAAAATCTGACACGGAGGAAGTAGGAGGCCTGTTGAGAGGATGCTTCCCATTGTTACACTGGTCAGAATAAAGTCCCTGGCTCCACAGTGTGAGAACATACAGCCTCGGGCAGAAATGGAAGTTTCAATTTGTCATTTTTAACAGTCATGCATAAGACCTCATGAAAATGAATAAATAAAATATGTAAACATACAAAAATATTTTCAGAAGAGAAATCTTTTATTTCGGAGGGGAGTCATCAGAAAAGGTTTTCTTTACTGTTGTTAAAAGAAAGTTCAATTTTGGTTTCTATCAAAAGAGTTCACAATGATGTCTGCTTATGATGGTAAAAGGTTTGTTTCTATCCACAGAACATGATAAATACAACCCTGTTAACATTGTTTTCCATTTAATTTTCATTTAAAGTTTCCTAATCCATCTGCGTCTTTGTATTTTGTTTGAATTTCTGGTCATTTTTAAGCTCTACACTGTCCCTGACCCTCCTGTTTCTCTGTCTTGTTCTCAGGACACCATCAAAGCAGAAGAGTCCACAGGAGGAGAAGGACATCGACATTGTCGAGCTGTTGAGGAACGTGGACCCCAAAGAGTACGAGAAATACGCCCGAATGTACGGCATCACCGACTACCGGGGCCTGCTGCAGGCCATCGAGCAGCTGAAGAAGGAGAAGGCTGAAGAAAGTGGAAGACCGGTAACCGTCTGCACGCTCAGGAGACCTGATGTGTTTGTGTCTGCAGACGTCCTGATGAGTAATCTGTTGTTGTTGTTGTTGTTGACAGGAAGTGGAACGTGCAGACAGAGAGTCTGATGAGGACATGGCCCGACTGGTGGCCGACCTGCAGAAGAGGATGGAGCGCACAGAGGTCAGGACACGTTCACAGAGATTTAATGTTACAAACACCTTAAACCACTAGCAGAATTCACCTTTCTATCAGACTGATGATCTTTGATGAGTTCGTAGATAACAGACACTTGATCCATGAAAGTTCTGAGACATTTTCTTATCGGACTTTATTTAGTATTTGGACGTGTGGGACAACTGTTTCTTCATAAAATATGATAAAATATATGGAAAGGAAAAGGTAGTCCCGTCATGTGCCCAAACACTAGATATAGCATGAGAAGAAAAAGACACTTTTTGGCCAAACTGCTCGACCAATTATAAAAATTTCAAATAGGCGAGTTCAGAGGACACTTTCAGCAAAGTTCAAAATATAAGGTGGGTTGGAAAGGTTTCTCTTGAGTCGAGGTTTCATGTCAATATTAAGCCAAACTACCAGAGACGATCGACCTATCCTGACCTCAGAGAGTTATTGATCGTCTTGTTGCTCCTGCAGCCCGTCACTGTGCTGAGGGACATCTCCGATCAGTCCGTCTTCATTAACAAGGAGGCGGTGTTTGAGTGCGAGATCAAGATCAACTACCCAGAGATCACCCTGTCCTGGTACAAGGGCACCCAGAAACTGGACACTAGTGACAAGTATGACATCAGCATCAGCGGTGACCGCCACCTGCTCAAGATCAAGAGGTGCCAGTCGACCGACCAAGGCAACTACCGGGTGGTCTGTGGGCCTCACATCTCCAGCGCCAAGCTCACTGTCAAGGGTCAGTACTTACACTGTGATATGATATTCATATATATATTATTCATATAAAGCTGGATTACATCGGACGTCAGCGATGAGATTTAAGCAGGATTTATACTTGTGCATCAGCTCTATAGAGCCTACGCCGTAGCCTACTCCATTGTGAGCATTTATACTTGTGTGGTGGTGTCACTCTGCAGTTACACCTCCAAAACAGTTGACAGCGGTGTTTCTGTGAAGTTCTGTAAAGCAGAGTTGATTCAAAATACACATTAAACACACATTAAACATGGCTTAACAGAGACAGTTTGAAACACAAGTATCAGCTTCACTATAACTTGCAGCATTCACAGACAAACACTTGTCTTTATCTGGATACATTTTCCCTACAAGTACAACATGGTAATGTTTTTAGCACAAGCCTATGGCATTTTACATTGTATAAATTAGCCTAGCGACCAGCAAACTTTTCCTCTACTTATATGAAGCCAGGGACAAGAGCAACATTTAACAGAGGTAACATTATAAGACTCAGCTCCATTACAACTCACAAGGTTCACTGACAAAACAACTGTCTTATACTAAACATGTTTTCCAAACAAATACAACATGCTAACGTTATTAGCACAAGCCTGTGGCATTTTACACTGTATAAATTAGCCTAGCAATGAGCGGAGATTTCCTCTGTTCGTATGAAGCCAGGATAAATCACACACAAGACTTTAAATTTTTAAATTTTTGTGGAGGCTTTACTGTCTTCACAGTTTATTGTTTCTTATCCGTGAAATTAGAGTAAATAAAAGCTTCGTTTCCACAGAGGGAAATGGTTTCAGCTTACAGAAACAGACAGGAGGTCTGCGTCACCACAACATGTAGTTACATTTCTGGGGAGGTGCACATCAAGCTATGGTGTATGGTAAAGCTCAGGCTCTATGCCGATCCAGAGCCTTTGCAGTAGGCACGGCGTTGATTGGATGCAGAAGTATAAATCCCACTTCTTGAAACCAGGCAGTCGTTTTTTCTTTTGTGATGCTCAGTGATCTCTAAACCCTCTTAACAGATTCTGCATGTTCCCCTTTGTGTCTTTCAGAGGTGGAGGTTGAGAAGCACCTGCAGGACACATCGGGTAAGGAAGGCCAGTCATGCACTCTGTCTTGTCAGTTATCCATCCCTAACGTAGAGGCTCAGTGGTATAAAAATGGAAAGCAGTTAGAGATGAAGGGCAGGTACACGTCGGAGGTGAAACACAAGATTCAGAAGCTTCTGATCAGAGACCTGAAAACTGAAGACCAGGGCAGATACACCTGCAAGTACCAGCACCTGGAGTCATCCGCCGACCTCTGGGTGGAAGGTTTGTACCTGGAAACCATTCTGCAACCTTCTAGACGTGGTGGATGTTCTGCCCGTTTACTAACCTCTTTCGACTCATCAAAGTCTGAGACTAATGTTAGGCGTTTTGGATTTTACCCTCTTTTTTTCCTCTCTTTCTTCTGGGATCTGTGTTAACACTCTTCACGCCTCTCCTCTCCTGGATTATCTTGCCAAAACATTCCGTCATCATCTCATTAGTTGTCTTCTTACATCCATCTTGACTCAAATCCATCTCTCACCCCCAACAACCAGCCATCATAACTGTCCCATAAACACTGATCATCATTTCTAACCGTGTGGATGTTGTGTCGATGAAAAACTACCATTCAAATATTGTCATACATTCCCAGTTGTGATGCCAAGCACGCTTACCCATTCACGTCTTTATCTGTTTTAGCTGAACAAATTCATTTCACCAAACGCATCCACAACATCGAAGTCAACGAGCGCCAGTCGGCCACCTTTGAGTGTGAGGTGTCCTTCGACAATGCTATCGTTTCGTGGTACAAAGACACCTGGGAACTGAGAGAGAGCCCTAAGTACAACTTCACAAGCGAGGGCCGAAGACATTTCATGGTCATCCGAAACGTGACCATCGAAGACGAAGGTGTGTAGAGCACCATCGAGCCCCAGAGGCCCATCACAAAGCCCTACAGATGTTTTTTTTTCCTCATTGTTTTGATGACTTGAGTGCTAAACGTCTTCATTAATAATCCCGTGTAGGCGTGTACTCAGTGATTGTGAGGTTGGAGCCCAGAGGAGAGGCTAAGAGCACGGCTGAGCTTTATTTGTCTGGCAAAGGTACAGTTCCTAGTCAGACGCCACCTTTTGTTTCTGTTCAGCTTCTGTCTGTTTCAGTGTTTAACACGTTCTTCACTCTTCCTCCTTTTCCACAGAAATTGAATTAGCAATGGTTCCCTTAGGTAAGTATTTTATTTTCTAGACAATTTGAATCTATCGGGAACATTTTAGGAAAATCCTCTTGTTCGGTCTTCACCAGAGTCTTAACTTTTATCTCAGTAGACACCTTTAGCCTAGTTTTGCACAAAGACTGGGAGCAGAGGGAAACTGCTAGCCAGTGCTCTTACAAACAGCTAGCATAATCAATGTTATTTGTACTTGAATGTTATAGAGACATTGTTGCGTCATCTGGTTGAGTGTTTTTGTTTTGTTATGAACATGAAACTGTTTGCTTTGTGATACAAGACAAATTTCAGATAAATAAGTGAGTTGAACATCAAAATTTAAATATCAATCATTGTGCTAACTGTTAGCTATGGACACTACAAACAATGCAATTTGTAATTGGCTGAAGTTATAGAGGATATAACGTGTTAACAACTATTCCATGTTTTGGAAGATACAAACAGTTAACATACCCACATTATGCTAGCAGTGTGTAGCTGACTTATTGACTAAACAGTTATCCACATAGCATAGTCTTGAACTGCGTCCAAGGCACTCTGGTTGTCCTTTTTTGTGGTTATCATTATTGTTATTTGTGAGTACATTAAGATATGTTGTCTCCTTGTATGTTAAACTATTCGCCTCATGATACAAGACAAAGTCCAGATAAATAAGTTAATATACCTCCAAGAATATATAAATACCCAACATTGTGCACAGATGGTACAAACAAATAGCTTAGTCCAGGGTTCCCATTCATGAAATTCCTGGAAAAGTTCTTAATTCAGTAAAACTGTTTTCCAGGCCTGGAATTGATTTGGAATTAACATAATGTTTTGGTTAAGTTTCGAGTCTACATTGTTTTGGCAGCTGCTTAATGTTGCATGAAATATGTTTGTAGTTTCATTAGTTTAGAATCCAGTGCTAACCGTTGAAATGTCACTAGTATCACGCGATACACAGAGACCAGTTTGTTTGGTGGCTAATCCACTTGGTCCACGCTCAGTTTCAGGCAACATTACAAAACAGTTATTAGACATGTGTATAAAACAAATGTTTGTTTAACACGGGTCAAATTGCATTGATATCAACAGGATCTTCGGTTTGCTAGCCCCTGAAAAGGGGCGTGGCCTTGATATTTTGTGCAGCTAGTTGGCAGTGGTAATGTCTAATAAGTGAGTAAAGTTGGCAGCAGCAGTGTGCTTATCTGAAAATGTTGTCTCCTAAAATATAATATTTATTGTGTGGTTAAATGGTTTTCTTTTGGTACGTGAAACTGTTCACTTTGTGATACAAGACAAAGTTCAGATAAATACGTGAGTCATACATCCCAAAATATTAATATCCAGCGTTATGCTAGCTATAGACGGTTCAAAGAGTAACATATCCAACATTATGCTTTATAATTAGCTTGTTTTTTGTAGATGGCTGACATAGCTACAAACTGTTGACGTATACAAAACTTTGCTAGCTGTTTTCAGTTGACTGATGTAAATGTAGCTACAAACTCTTATCTGATGTTAAGACAGCTGCTTGTAGCTAACCAGTTAGCTTAGCTTAGCAGATGTTAAGCATGTTTAGCTTAGCTTAGCTTAGCAGAAAGACCAGAACCAGGGGAAACTACTGGCCAGTAGAGCCACGTACTGCTGATACTATCTGCAATAAGTTCCAACAACTCTGGTAAACACTGGGGAGCAAGAGGATTTTCCAAAATGTCAGACTGTTCATTTAGTTACAGAACAGTTATCATCAATGTTAATATTGTACATGTAGTCATTTTTTCTCTAAAGATTCTTTAAATAAAGTTTTGGTATGAATCATATTCCATATTCTGTAGATGTCCCAGACTCCTCAGTTCAGAGGCCTGAAGTGCCTTCATCAGTGGCAATTCAAGGTAAGACGATCAGGAGCAGGGTGCAGTTCACTTTCAAATACATTTATCAGGAAGACGAATCAGAAACAAGTTTTGTATCAGAAGTAAATTTTTTATTTGCACCTAAAGCTTGTGTTTCCATGATGTTTCAAGGAATATGTGAATCTTTATTAACCTCTGTCTAAATTCTTGAATTTAAAGCATTTTATGGCAAATAAAATTAACATTTTGCCCCAAATTTAACATAATGAAACCATGTTTTTTGTCTTTTAAAGAATCTGCTGAATACTATCATTATGAAGAAGAGCTTGAACATAGAGGTATTTACTGTTTATATACTTCATCTGCTTACAACCTCCATCCTGATATAGAAATAAATTAAAATTAAGCTGATTATATCTGTCATAGACATAAGTTAATGATTAACATTATGGTGTAAAAACACAATTAACTTTTATACTGCTGCAATCCCTCACTGACAGTCAAACTAACCTCTCATCATAAATTGAAAACTCTTCAGTCTTCTTTTTAAATAACGGAAACAAAAAAAACCCTGCTTTTGTTTCCTTAAGAATCAGCTGAATATTCGTATCACTATGAAGAAGAGGTGGAGATGGAGGTGGAGCAGAGAGGTATAACAAATGGTTTTTCTTCTTTTTCACCCATCATCTCCATCATCCATCAAACCATCTGAGCAGATCTGGGAAAAACACAATAAAATAATTTAATCAAGGACAGACCAATCAATACTGAACATTCAAAACATTTAATCAAAATTAAGTATACACCAAATATATATGTTTAAACAGGAACTATTCGAATTTTTTTTTAGAAATCTTTTTCAGGTTAATTTCAGCTCATTTGAAAGTGTCTCAGAATGTGAATTTACCCAAATCTGCCTCTTATCTTCATCATAACATCATCATCATTGTGTCATGTGACTGATCTCTGCAGATATAATATGAAAGTCTTTGTGTGTCCTTGTTTGTTTTGTTTGTTTGTGTCCAACCTTTGAGGATGCATTCTTCTTTGTTCACTCTTTTAACTTTCATCCTATCTTCCATCTCCATCAAACACACTAACTTTCAGTGGAGTTACCATTTCACAGTCAAAGTCTTTTGTCTCGTTGATCTGGAAAATTAAAGTCAGCTGAGCATCATCAGGAAATTTAACTCATCAAAACAGTTTAGAACTGTCCAGGGTAAAATTTAGATCTGTGTTTGGGGTTTTGTTTGCTTCCTGATTTTGTCGAAGCTCCTAAATGTGAAATATGTTTGACTTTCGATCTAAGTGGATAATATGTGTTGGTGCTCAAACAAAATCATGCCCCTGGGCACAGACACAAAACAACTGTTATTGTTTGTGCTCATTTGTTGTCATTTTGTGTCTCTGTAGCCATTCTGTGTCTCTAGGTAGCCATTTTGTGTCTCTAAGTAGCCATTTTGTCTCTAAGTGGCCATTTTGTGTCTCTGTAGCCATTCTGTGTCTCTAGGTAGCCATTTTGTGTCTCCTTGTAGCCATTTTATGGCTCATTTAAGCTATTTTGTGTCTTTTTGTCGCCATTTTGTTTATTTGAAACCATTTTGTGTCCCTGCGTAGCCATTTTGTCTCTTTGCAGCCATTTTGTGTCTCTAGGTAGCCATTTTGTATCTCTGTGTGGCCATTTTATGTCTCTTTCTAGCCATTCTGTCACTTTGTAGTCATTTTGTGTTCTCTTTCAATAGTTTTGTGTCTCTAGGTAGCCATTTTGTATCTCCTTGTTGCTGTTTTGTGTCTGTTTAGCCATTTTGCATCTTTGTGGTTGTTTTGCATCTCTTTGTTGCCACCTCGTGTGTCTTTGTTGTTGTTGGATTTTCCAATAAGAAAAGCTAACTGTCACCTCAAACAGAGTCTCTGACTCAGGGTCCCCTTGACCCTTTGGCCCCCAGACCTTTGCCCATTGGGCCAGTTCTGAAACCATCCATGAAATCAGGAAGTCTGTTTTTAAAATTTAAATTTTAGAATTTATCCAGTTGTTTCAGCCTCATCTCATTAATGAGAGAACTTAACAACAAGATGGAGACTTTGTTAAACTGTGAAATGACTACCTGAGTTTTCAAGCACAACCTGCCTCACGTTTGTTGTCTTCTATCACTTTTGTGGTCCTCACACCTTCAGTGGAGTTTGAGAGCTGGACAGAAGAGACAGTAAAACCACAGGTGTCCGAAACCAAAGCCAAAGGTATATCATCACAGTTACACACAGGACGGACGTCATCTGTCTCTTAATACCTGTGTGTTTTTGAGCCGATGTTAACCATGGCTCGCTCTTAGCGTTTGTCTTTATGTCTCATACTAACCTCTTTTACTTCCTTTGTCTCATAATCATTCGTCTGTTTTTACTTTATTCAAAATAACCTCTCTTCATTAACTGCAGTCTGAGGTCATTTTTTGGCTTCTGCTTACCTCCTAAAACTCAGTTTCTTACTCCAAATGCATGGGCATATCAGTAATCAATAATTATTTTGCTTTGCATTTAATTTAACTTATAATCAGTCTACTGGTTACCATTTTAAGTTTGGAGATTTAAGTTTATATATGATTCTTCTTGTGTTAATCCACAACACATTTATGGTTTCTGTTCGTAACATAACACATATAATTTTTCACCTAAATGCTGGAGATAACAACTCTTTTTCCATTGACTTCATGTCACCATTGAGTCATCTTTTAACAGTTCTGTTTTCTGACAGTGATGATGATTCTGGATGTGTTTCTGTGTTTTTAGCTGCCAGAGTTGCCATTGAGGAGACAGTGGAGACCAAGAAAGTTGAAATGCGGGAGGAACTCCCAACAAAAGGTACCACAGACCTGAACATCTTCCTGCTGCAGCTCAGCGCTGTGTCCTGCAAAACACGTAAACTTACTTGTCCATTCTCTGCTACTAAAATCTTTGACTGTCTTGTCCCGCTTTGTGTTTTTATTCCTTTCCTTTCTTGCTCAATCTTTTATTTTTGCTTCAGACAGAGTCATTACATTTTCTACTGTAGTTGCCTTTTCTGTCTTATTATCTTCTGCTTCGCTTCTTGGCTTCGCCTGCAAATCCACAGCATCTCTGTTGTGTTTCTAACACAATCGGTGTCTTTTAAGTTCCCAAAGCTGAGAAAAAGCCTGAAGAGAAGCCAAGAGCAGCCATTAAGGAGCCTTCACCGCCCAAAGGTACCAGCATACCTTCCTGATGATGAATGTATCTGTAAATGGTACATTCATCTATGGCTTTCTATGTTTTTTACACTTTAAAAATTGTTTTATGCAATTGTGTCAGTGTGATTTTTCACTCCGTTAATGTTTTTATGTTGTGAAAATTCACTTAATTTTACTGACATTTTGAAGTACCGGAGGCCAGAAAGCCAGTGGAGGAAAAGATTCCTGTAGTTTCAGTCCCAGAGAAGAAGGAACGTCCTACTCCAAAAGGTAGAGATGTCTGATTTCTACCATCTCTCTACTGAATATCTTCATCTTTGCTGATGACACTGTCCTTATGTTTGACTATTCTGTTACGATGTGGTTCAGATTCAGTGCTGTTCCTTTCGTTGTCTTCTTTTCTGGTTGATCATGTGTTTGAATGTATCTTAAAAGAACCAGAGGAGGTTAAGAAGCCTGCTGCTCCTCCCTTGCTGCCTGCCGAGAAGCCAGGAGTGCCAAAGAAAGGTACTTCACTTTGTTATTTCTATTGTTTTACATCTTATCAAGTTCCCTCAGTAGCAGCATACTTGTGCTCAGCGCTACGTAGCTTCTTACCTCTTATTGTCTGTCTTGTCTTTATTCTATTCAGCCTCAAATCTTCCTCTTTGCGCTCTGTTATTGTTTTTCACTATCAGCTGTTTCTAGTTTCACTTTTCATTGGTTTGTCTTTATGTTGAGTGCCATCTCGCTCTTTCAAACGCCTCTTGCTAGCTCTTAGATGCTACCATGACTTCATGCTAATATAAGATAATGTCTGTGTCACCTACTCAAAGATGAGCCCAAGCCTCAGGTACCAGCTGAGCCCAAAAAAGTGGCACCTGCAGCTAAGCCTGAGCCTGAGGCCAAGCCGAAACCGAAAGCTGAGCCTGAGCCAAAGCCTAAGCCCACACCGGCTCCTAAAGCAGAACCTGAGCCAAAGCCCAAGCCCACACCGGCTCCTAAAGCAGAACCTGAGCCAAAGCCCAAGCCCACACCGGCTCCCAAAGCAGAACCTGAGCCAAAGCCCAAGCCCACACCGGCTCCCAAAGCAGAGCCTGAGCCAAAGCCTAAGCCTACACCGGCTCCGACAATACCTGAAGCCAAACCAGTGTTGAAGGTCGAGCCTGAAGCTGAGCCAGTGCGAGTAGAGAAGCCAGTGACACTTCCATCCAAAGGTATTTCCTGCTGTGTTTGGATGTGTTGTGATTTAAAGACTTTTATGACTGTTGAGTCTAACTGTGTGTACGTTCCTCTGTGTTGAGTATTAAGATGTCTGAACTGTGTTTGTTTAGCTTCAAGTTTGGAAGCGAATCTTTAACTTACTGTTTCTTGAATGTCTTTACTTGAATCTAAAATAAATGTTGCTTTAAGCCCCTGAAGAGGCTGCAAAACCAGAGCTGGCAAAGATCAAGCCTGAACCAGCAGTAAAAAAGCCAGAGCCAGAGGCTCGAAAAGCGAAACCAGAACCAGAAAAACCAAAACCAGAAGTCCGTAAACCAGAGCCTGTTGTAACGAAGCCAGAACCTGCTGTTGCTAAGCCAGAACCTCCAGTTCCAAAACCAGAACCTGCAGTGGTCCCCAAACCTGAACCGGCAGAGGTTCCCAAACCAAAACCTGCAGAGGTCCCTAAACCAGAACCTGTGGAGGTCCCCAAACCCAAACTAAAACCTGTGGAGGTCTCCAAACCAGAACCAGTGGAGGTCCCCAAACCCAAACTAAAACCTGTGGAGGTCTCCAAACCAGAACCCGTGGAGGTCCCCAGACCCAAACTAAAACCTGTGGAGGTCTCCAAACCAGAACCAGTGGAGGTCCCCAAACCCAAATTAAAACCTGTGGAGGTCTCCAAACCAGAACCCGAGGAGGTCCGCAAACCCAAACTAAAACCTGTGGAGGTCTCCAAACCAGAACCAGTGGAGGTCCCCAAACCAAAACTAAAACCTGTGGAGGTCCCCAAACCAGAACCTGTGGAGGTCCCGAAACCAAAACCTGAGCCAGCAGTGAAAAAACCTGAACCTGAGGTGAAAGTGCCAAAACCTGAACCTCCAAAGATCAAACCAGAACCAACACCTGCACCAAAGGAACCTCTGAAGAAAGGTATACAACGGCTTTGATTGAGATGCAGCTCTGGAGTTTTTCTTAATCTTCTTAACTCCATCATCCAGCTTTAACTCATCTCGAGTGATTTTCCATGATTGCTCACTGATCGCTTTTGTGACTAGTTTAGTTTGTGCAAGCCAACTCTTCATCATTCATCTTCATCATAACCTATCACACTAAAACCAAAACTCTTACATCCATCTTAAACTCTCTTTGGCTTCTGCGGTTTGTTTTTGTCTAACGTCTAACTCCAGTTACTGTGATGTGTCTGTGATGTTATGATGGGGCTGCACGTTGTCAGTTTTGGGTTTCCTTGTCTTGCACTCGATAGAGTGTTTGGGTTTGTCCATCTTTAACAACACTCTTCAGCTTGAATTCGTTGAAAGGCTTCTGATCTTTTTGAATGGTACTCTTTAAAGTTCCTGTGGAGGAAAAAATACCCGAGGCTCCAAAACCAGCCAAGAAACCTGAAGTTGCTGTTGTTCCTCCCAAAGAAGAGCCGACGAAGAATGAGAAAGGTACTTCAGTGCTCTTGATCCTCAGACACAGGCCCAGGTTTTGTTTTGTATGTTGTCCTTTGAAGTCTCTTTTACATAAGTGGGATTATGTTACCCAAATTACCAAAATGTGTTTAAATGATGTTATTAATATAGATAAATCAGGATTAGTACATCTGTCAACAGAGTTTTTATGGTCCCCATAAGACCATGATCTTCCTCTGGTGCTGTCCTAAGGACAAGCTTTAGGACATTCTGCTTAAAGATGGAAAATTCTAGTGAAGTGACTCCCTGCTGTGTTTATTGCATCTTTATTTGTGCGCCAGCACATTTTTGAATTCTTTATAGTCATGTCTTGTGCATGTTTTTGTGTCAAACCCTTAAAGCTTTGAAGCCCAAACCTAAACTGGTACCTGAAGAGGTGCCTGAACCTCGAAAGGTGTTTGAACATGTAGTTGTGTCGGAGACTGAACCTGAGAAAATACCTGAGAGACAGGAAGTCCATGTGAAGGAAAAGACCCCTGAGAGGGTCCCAGAAAAGGTGCTCGCACCTGAGAGAAAAGCCGAGGAAATTCCAAAGATGGTGCCAGAAAAAGTACCTGAGAGGGTTCCTGAAAAACCACCTGAGAAAAAGATGCCGGAGAAAGCTCCTCCTGAGAGGAAGCCAGTAAAAGTTCCCCAGAAGGTGGCTGAAGAAGAGAAAATTCCTGAGAAGAAGCCACCTGAGGAAGTAAAACCTGAAAGGGTGCCTAAGAAACAAACAGAGAGGATCTCTGTAGAAAAAACACCTGAGAAGGTGCCTGAAGCTAAACCTAAACGAGAGGTGGAAGAAATTCTTCCTAAAGGTACAGCTGAGGCAGACCTCAACTCTTTATATCTTTCTTTATGTCTTCTTCAAGCATATGAACCATTGGCAACAGTCCACTTACAGCACTCCTTCATCTGCCATGTGGTAACACATCTCAACACACACTCAAAAAAATTAAATGTTAGTTTTAGTTCAATGTGCAAAATGCAAATAATGTTGACCATTAAAGGCAAATTAATGAAATTCACTGATGATGTGGACAAATGACTTAAACTGGAGCAAGACCATCATTTAAATATATCAACTTTGTCATTCTAAGCATGTATTATTCTTAAATGTTAAATTCATTGTGTGTACAAGTAGTGAATGCTGTACTTTGGCCCCGTTCAGTGGTCAGAGCAAGAAGGACATATATATATATATTTCTTACATATAATCTGGGTTGAACCTTCTTTTTTGTGCCTCCATGCCGGTGATAGCTGTGGCTGGAGGCATTATATTTTTGGGTTGTCAGGATTAGATTTTGGTGGTCGTAGTTTAAAGGTAAAGGTCACCGTGACCTCACCTGACTTCTCACGAACGCGATATCTTAAGAACACCTTTAGGGATTTTTTTTCAAATTTGGCACAAACGTCTACTTGAACTTACAATGAACTGATTAGATTTTGGTGTTCAAAGCTTAAGGTCACTGTGACCTTGCATTTTTGTCATTCTTTTGAACATGGTATCTCAAGAAAACTTTGAGGGAATTTCTTCAAACTGGCACAAACATTCACTTGGACTTGAGGATGAAGTGATTTGAATTTGGTGGCAAAGGTCGAGGTCACTGTTTTTATCACAATGTTTTATATCTTCTTATTTATGTAAAATTTAAAAAACTAATAAACTTAAAAATTTATTGCACTGAACAATAACAAACTATTTAATTTCTTTGAGTCAAAAGCAGATGTGACATTATTCATACTGTAACTGAACCGTTGCCTCTTCTTCTTCTTACACCCCTCTTTGATGTCTTATTTCTTGCTGTGTTTCCTCTTATTTAATGTTTGCTGGTTATTTCTGTTTGTTTGTTTGTTTGTTTGTTGAATGTCTTAATTTTCTTCTTTGAAAATGATCTTCCACGATCTCACACAACGTCTTGGATTAAAAACTGATTCATTCTTTAAAAGAAATAGAAACTAAGAAGACTGAAAAGATTCTGCCTCCAGTGGTTGAACAAGAGAAAAAAGTCTCTCCTCCAGAAAAAGGTACCACCATTTGAAAACACCATGGAGCACTTTAACCATATCTTAATCTTTAACTCTTGATGATAATACACAACAGGTGGATTATCACCTCAAGCATTAGCCATGTGATTAATCTCTGAGTTGTCTCTTTCTAACACCAATGCTTGTTTTTGTGTTTTGTCATCACCTCTTGGCGCCGCCGCATGACGCCTCTTCTTCAACACCTCTTAAAACTTCCAGTAGCTACCAGTCTTGTCAAGATTGAACGAAGGAAAGGAGCTGAGAAGATACAGGAAGTTTATTACGTGACGGAGAAAGTGTCACCCACAGAGGAGGTGTGGGAACACGAAGAGGTGGTGGAAGAACATGCTGAAGTGTTGTATGAGGATGAAGTGGCTCGTCTGGGCGAGAAAATAGTGTCGTTATCAGAAGTAGACATCTTAAGTACGACAGAAAAGGCGAGAGATAAAAAGTCTGAGCTGAGAGGTGAGATATCTGTTACTGACTCTTCAAAGAGAAAAGAAACCAGGGTGACTAAACACAGAGTCCCAAAAACAGAAGAAACCATTGTTGTAGTTCAGGAACCTGAATCTGACAGAGATAGGGAGGTCATAACGTTGAAGGGTAAACCTACAAAGATAGAAGAGGAGTATTTTATCAAGACAATCGAGTCACCAAAAGAGGAGATTGCAGATGAAAGAAAAGACAGCCTATCAGTCAGACAGCGGCCAGATGAGAGGGACATATCTAAACAAGAAACTACTGTCACAGTCAAAAAGGGACGAGAGATAACCATTACAACAGAGAGCAAAGAGAGGCAAGTGAGACCGCAAACTTATACAGTCAAAGAAACAGAGTCAGTACAAGAAAAGATCACATCAGTGACAGACACAGATAAAACTAAACCAGTTATTATCAGCACAGAGGCAAGAAAACTAACCAAAAAGCTGGACATCGAAGAAAAGCCTTTTAGAGAAGTCACTTACGAGGAATTGGTCGATCGTGATGTTGAGATAATAGCAGATATTCCAGAGGAAGAATACAGTAGAAGTGAAGAAATTACAGAAATTAGAATCCAGCAGAGAGATGTCCCAGTTAAAGACAAACGAACAAAAGTTATCCCCACTGAAGTGAAAGTGGTGGATGAGAAAACAAGTAGAAAAGAGGAACCTAGAATTAAACCAGCAGTCATTACTGACTCCAAAAAAGATGAAACTGTTGCTCCTGGAAAAGTGCCCGCAAAGAAACAAGAGATAGCTGAGCAGAAACAAGAGAAAAAGTTAAAGCCCGATGAGATAATCGACACAAAGGAGAAAGTTACGGAAAAAGCAAAACTTAAGGAAGAGGTGACCCCCAAGGTAAAACCAAAAGAGTCAGTAACAGATATCGAGCCTAAGAAGCCAAAAGTGACTGAGCAGGAGATTGAGTTTGAGCCAGTTGCTGCAAGAACTGAAGCAGATTACAAGAAGAAAGAGGAGCCCAAAGATGTTCGTCCTCAGAGAGTCGAGAAGACAAAAGAAGAACCAAGTCTTTTAATCAAGGATACGGTTGAGACAAAACCTTCAGTCCCTTCAAAACCAGAGAAGAAAAGGATTTCCCCAGTAACAGCTTCCAGAGGTACAAAGAGCAAATTTAACATCATGATCATTTTCATCTTTAACTTTTTTATGTGACTCCATATTTGGGTGCAATCTTTCTTCTCTTTTTTTTTTATTTTTTATCTAAAATCTTGGGCCACCACCAGGGGTCATCATTTCAGCCTCATTTCACCTCATTTGTAAACGTCTCTTCATCCACCACTGTCATGTTCATTGTGTTCTCCATTGTCTTCATGTTATGTTACTCTTCTTTTTTTGTAGTATTTTAAAGGGGTTCTTTTTTATCCCTTTGTGGTTGAAATCTTTCTTTCTTCTCTTGAATATTAATATCTTGCGTTAAACAAAACCTGATTATTTTTCAAAGAACAAGAAGTCGAGGCCAAGAAGATTCCCAAGACGATTCCTGCTGCTTTGCCTCCTGAAACACAAGTCGAGATAAAAGAAAAAAGAGCAGAGAGAGGTACAGCGACAGCACATTTTCCTGTCAGTGCCTTCTTCTTTCGTATTATCTTCATGTTTGTCTTGTTTAACCCTAAATGTTTGTGTTTGTGTTTTTGTTCTTTCTAATCTCTTGGCACCGCTTCATGGTGCTTTTTCTTCACACCTCTTAAAATCGTCCATCCTCAAGCAGCCACAAAGGGCCTTTTAAAGGCTGAGAAAAGAGCAGCAGCTCAAACGGATTACATAACAGAAAAGGCAGAAAAGGTTTTTGAAAGAGAAGAGGTTGCAGCAAAACCTCAAATATATCAGAACATCATCAAGGATGAAGAAGAAGTTGTGGGCGAAAGTTCTAAATCTTTGCTGCAAGAAGGGATTTTAAGTAAGATGGAAGAACCTGAGGAAGGATCTGAAATTAGTGATGATTTATCTGTTACTGATGGTTTAAAGACACGTGGTCTAAAAACAAGAGTCATCCCAAAAACTAAAGAAAAGGTCATCATGACAGGAAGTAAATCTAGGAGAGAAAAAGTTGGGGCAGTTCAAGGTGAACCCGCCAACCGAAAATTGTTGTCTGTTCAAAAAGCTGATTCTCCGACAGTGAGTGTAGAAATAAAAGATAATGAAGAATATAAAGAAGCTTTTCAAAGCAGAGAGAAAAAATCTGAGAGTCCAGAAATTTCAGTTAAAGCTGTTTCTGATCAAAAACAGGTGATAGAACCCCAACAGGTGAGTTCTGAAGCGGACGCTGAAGAGAAGGAAGGTCTTATCACACAGGGACTAAAAGATATACGTAAAATACCAGTTAGAAAATTTGAGTCATCACAAAGGACAGACGGACAGCCTTTAGAACAAGCCACTCTCCAGAAGAAATCAAAGCAAACTGACCAAGAAGAAAAACCTTTAGAGGCTGAAAATTTTGAAACAATCTCAAAGACACAAAAAACTGAT